TGGCAGCTGCTCCCCCACCTTTTAATATACTCATTGACACTACAGAAAGGAGCGACGCACAGACGTCACCTTACAAACTTTCCTTCCATATGTTGGCACCGTGTGAATGTGCGACAGGGAGGGCGATGAGCGACGAAACGGAATCACTGTTTACTGCAACACATGCCCTGTTGTGAGTAGAAACAGTGCTGTGTGAGGCGGCTTGTCCTCGATATCCCGCAAGGTGCTCTGGCCTTTTATTAAAGTGGGTGACGTAGTCGCAGTGGGCTATCTGCCAGTTGACCCTCCCGACCCGAGCGGGTGAAAGTGGACGGAGACCCGCGGTCTCATCGACCATATATGACTAGTAGACTTTTGAGATTTAGGACGGCGCGGTGTTTTACATAGTTGCGGTCCAGCGAGTTTTTGGTTTGTTCACTAGCGTTCGCGCAGTGATGCCATGCTTCTCGTAGTGAATATCCTGTCCGTGCAGCAGAATGTTGACTGCGCGGATTTCGGCGATTCAGAAATACTCGTGTCGCCCTTCTTGGGAGACCAAGTGATTTGTTTGATAAGGACTGAGGTGAGCTCAACCCGCGGTTTTTGGTTTGGTTGGCGGGGCGTGATGTTTTGTGCTGATGATTCTTTTACATTTTGGATCACCATCATGTGTGTACACTGATTCCGTATCTCCCGCCAAGGGCTGGTCATGGTTTCTTTTTGGGTGACTCTGCAACGCTGTTACGACCGTGTTGGTTTTTCCTATTGGCCAATTCTCCTTCAAGACCTTTCTTTCCCTCGCTCTCTGAACGGTTGCACGCTTCTATAGAGATCTCATTGGGATTCTGCCAAGACGGCTGTCTGACTCCGGGCGATTGGGTAGGTGGGAGCCGTTGTCGCATCGCCGATGATTCGAATGGTCTGGGGGTTCAACCGTCGTACCACAAGAGCACCGACAAACCCCAACGCGTGGGATATTGCCTAGACGGGATCTTGTCTGAATAAGTGATGCCCGATTGACGGGCTGAGTAAGGTAGGGAGATCGTATGTGTCGTATGAAGATAGGATCCCATATTGACTCTGAATCAGTACAAACTCCTCCGTCATGAGTGACTGTGAGGATTATCACATGTTATTGGTATGGGCGTTAGTTGTCGTTGTCGTGCGCTTCGTTCTCGACCGAGCCGGTGCACAGAGTCTCCAGGATGTCCAGGGACCTGACTGAGTGCTCTCTGCCATGAGGTACGTGCCGGCGACATCGGCCCTTGTGAGATGGGTGTTGGAAAAGCAAGCTTGATGATTGGCCTGCTGAGGGCACGACGTTGTGACCTCTCCTCTTCCTTGCCAGCCTTCCGAGCAGGGGTTTAAAAGTCTAACATGGATGCCTTGCATGCACTTGACGATGTGTGGATCTTGGGCCAACTCTAACTGGACGCCGTGAGAGTGGGGTGTTAATGGCTGCTTCCACTCAGTGCTGTTTTCTTTGGTGTACATAGTTTCTCTTTGTTGAAATGAAATGTTCCTCTGTGGGCAGTCAACCACCAAAGAGCTAATCCCACTCATTGGAAACGGCTGACGCCCACTGAAACAGGTGACTCAAATCAGTCTGGATGTTGGAAATGAAAATGATATACTTTCTGACTCTCTGATCAGTCTCCCAAAAACAAGTCCATGACGTGGTTTGCCGGGCGAGCCCGGAGGTCGTGATACCGCCTGTACTTGTGTGTTGCTACAAAACACGGGATGAGAAGTGTCATCGTCACACAATCATGTGGTTATAGTAACTTCCCTTACCCTTTGCTGGACGCCTTCAACTTCATAAGCGTTGGTGCTGGAATACAGTAGTAGAAGCGGGGCCTTTGGAGAAAGGCATTGATACTATGTTATATGATGGAAGTGGAAAAAAAAAAAAAAAACAGCTGGCAGCCCGAGTGACCGCTCAGGCGCTTTCTTGCAGCCGATGTATACACTACGGATGGGCAAGAGTCGCCCGCGTTGCATCGACACCGAATCACCAGCGCAGCCCAAAAGGAGGAATGTTGAAGCGGGCGTGGGGCGTAAATCCCAATGGTGGACATAATTATTATATCTCAGTCCTTCGATACGTCTAGAGTCGTGAGATATCGTGAAATGGACACAAGTTGGAGAAGGAGGGAGCAATGGATATTTCCCCACTCTTGGGCGTGTGCCAACACCCTCAATCGGGCATTCCTATCTGTAATGGCGCTGGGGTCCGGGTTGGTCTACCGCGTTAGCTGCCACATGCGACTGTGGAGCTGTCCAATCTGCGTCTTTGGATTTGTTCACTAGGCCCGCCCGCTGCCTGTTGGACATGGTCCCTCTCTCGCCTCGAGGTTGCATTTCCCGTCTCCATGTACTATGTAGTGTACAATCCTCTCCAGGGCCTGGCACTCCGGCTTGGCCTGCTTCCACTTCTCGTGTGTGCTCCGCACCGGCCATTTTCTTGACTTGGAGCAACCCAACAGCCGACCAAAGAAAGTCGGATCTGTCGTTCAAATTGCCCCGAGCGCCGCGGCCACCTTTTCCGTCCTCCGTTCTACGCTGGCGTGTCTTCCCGAGCTGGTTCCATCCCCCCCCCCCTTCTCCTCCCCCCCTCCTCCCCCGGAGGCGGAGCGCCCGTTCTGTTCATAAAATCCGTCATCGCCACCCTTTCCTCTCCTCTATCCTCTTCTTTTTCTCTCTTTCTTGTGCACTTTCGACCTTCCTAACATCTGGCCCTGCCTTCCAGTTGTTACTCCGTTGGCCACTACAACAGGTGCCTACAGTATTCACAGCTCGTCAGCTAGGAGGTGCTCTTCCTAGTCGAGTTTTGCATGTAAGGAACTAACATCCAGACCCTCCCTTCTTCCCTTCCCATTCCCTCTTCCTCCTTACCAGTTCCGATGCTTGGACAAGACGAAGCGACATTCGGCGACACTTGTAACTGTCGAGGGCAAGTTGCGACTTGGAAACCGCCGTCCGCTACAGGCACGCAAAAAAAAATCGCATCGGACACTTGGTCGGCTTCAATCTGCCGTGTCTTGGTCTCTTCCACTAGTACGAGACCAGCGAATCAAAAAGGCTTCAGTTTCCCGAGACGATACAATTCGATCGTCAAGGCCCCGCGATCTCACAAGCTATGTACACTACCAAGTTTACACCACGACCGGTCGGTAATCAGCGACCTGGATCCCACACACACGACACTCAGCCCAGAAGATACGTACTTTCCCGAGCTTCCAGCCGATGACCACTCCCAAGACGGCACAAAGCGCCACGCTTGTTCCGAAACCGGAGTCACAAGCCATTCCCCTAGAAAGAGACCTAGCGCTGTAAAGCAATGGACACAGTAGCAACTCGGATGCTCAGAACTTGAAAAACATGGCCATCTGGATGGACGTAGCAACTTGGCATCGATCTTTTCACGGTCATGACGAGACAGCAAGAATGGACGACATGGAAACTCGGTCGTCACCAAGTGGAAACGCAGGGTAGAGCCAACTTTTGTGGTGATGCCCCTGGCACACTTGGTGGGCCCCGCCCCCGCCTCCCTAGGAGCCCTGGCCCTTGGGGGATCTTGTGCTGGGATCTTCCAGTCGCCCCCGGCTGCCCACTCCCCCGCCTGCGCATCCCACATTCATCTTCCTCACTATCACCAAAACGGCATGGAGCTTTTTCACCTCCATCACTTCCACTGCTGGCTGCTTCTACACATCGAATGGCGTGGAGATTGGCTGCGCCGAAATACCTACCGTCAACACCGCCACATCAAGACCGATGATCTTGCCTTCCAGCCGATCTCCCAGGTCCCCGGCAAGACACGGTTGGGCTTGGGGTCTTGTCGATATCGGATGTTGCTGGCCTATCAAAAGACAGGACGACAACCGCATGGGCGCGATAAGGAAAGATTGCAATTGGCTTTTTTCGTCATATCGTCCCACGCAGTTGGTGTTGGAGTTGTGAGTGGGCAGCCCTGGAATTGGCTGGGTACGACTGTGCGTTCCATTGCATCACAGGCTCACACGAGCAGCAGCTGCCGGCGAACTTGCAAACAGCACTCGAGTACCACCGCAGGAGCATCACCACCACTCGGACGCACACCCACCCAGGCCACCCACTTCTACCCCGATTTCTTGTTTCGAGATCTACCGTAGCAAGCCATCGGATGGTGTGTCAGCGAGGCATCTGCCGTTCCACTTGTCCCGTCCACACAGACTCCCTCAAACTCAGCCGGTGGCTTGGGCGTTTTCTATCATGATGCCTCCAACTCAGATTAGGGACCCGATGCGTCTTGGCTTCAGAGCTCCTCCCTCATGCTCTCTTGTCGCGAGAGTTTGACTAGAGGCCCGCTAGCCTGTTGCCCATGGTTGCCGGTTCAACCTGCCAAGATCGGGCATTGCTGCTTGGCTCGGTGTCCATACTGTCGTGTGTCTTGTCTGCAACAGTTGTCTATTTTAACTTTCCGCTATCGGATCACCGACGTACATAGAGCCGTGTCGCCTCCGTCCAACTGCATAACTGCAATATTCGGAACCCCCCCTCCCTCTTCCATCTCGCTGTGCAGATCAGATTTGTGGCCATCAAAACTTGAACCGTGCCCTGACAGTTGACTGACTTTTCTTTCCCTAGATCCCCATTTCTCGTCCGAGCCATCCCCTCTTCCTTTCTCTTTTCTCCTTGTTCACAAGCTTGAGCTCTGATAGCCAAGTCGGCGCCTTTGACAGTTTCTGAACGATACCCATACCTCGAGCGTTTGCCAAGGACAGCCTGCCTAGCATGGGCGCTATCGAGGATTTCGACGACCGACAAGTGCATCTTGAAACAGAGAAAGAGCAGTATCATCCCTATGAATACCAAACAGAGAATAACTCTTCGTGGGCTGGCGCCTTGCCGGTGAAGCAGTGCGTTTGACCCCAACCCCCTGTGATAAGTTGGCCAGGTTGGCTAACTAGATGTTGTTTAGGGGACTGTACGATCCCGAGCTCGAAAAGGATGCCTGTGGTGTAGGTTTTGCTTGGTAAGACCCCAGAAACAAATTAAGGTACTTTGAACAAACGCTAATCTGCCATGCTACAGCCATATCAAGGGCAAGCCCAGTCACAAGATTGTCAGCGATGCACGAAACCTGCTCTGCAACATGACCCATCGTGGTGCCGTGGGCTCTGACGCACGCGATGGCGATGGTGCGGGTGTCATGACATCGATCCCCCACAAGTTCTTCGTGAAGAACTTCGCGCGCGATGTTGGAGTTACGCTTCCTCCACTCGGCCAGTATGCTGTGGGAAACTTGTTCTTCAAACCTGATCCAGAGACACTGCAGGAGTCGAAGCGGCAGTTGGAAGAGATTGCCGAGTCGTTGGGCTTGAGAGTTCTAGGATGGCGAGAGCCTCCCGTGGATTCGACTTTGCTTGGCCCTGCTGCTCTTTCCCGAGAGCCTTCCATTCTGCAGCCTTTCGTTGTGCTAGCGTCTGCTTACGGGCCCGGCAATGAACCAGAAACAACCGATCCCGAGAAGTTTGACGAGAGGCTGTTTGAGCGGCAGCTCTATGTCCTCCGGAAGAGAGCTACACACACGATTGGGCTGCAGAACTGGTTCTACATCTGCTCCCTTTCCAACAAGAACATTGTCTACAAGGGTCAGCTGGCGCCGATTCAGGTTTACCAATACTACAATGATTTGGTGAACTATGACTATGAGGCTCACTTTGCCTTGGTGCATTCGCGTTTCTCCACCAACACCTTCCCCTCTTGGGATCGTGCCCAGCCTCTCCGATGGGCTGCTCACAATGGTAAGCGATAGATATTGTCCGTAAAACACTTGGTGCTCCTCGCTAACAGAATCTTCCCAGGTGAAATAAACACCCTTCGCGGCAACAAGAATTGGATGCGTGCTCGTGAGGGAGTCATGCAGTCTGATGTCTTTGGAGATGAGCTGGAACTTCTCTATCCTATTGTTGAGGCTGGCGGTTCCGACTCTGCTGCCTTCGATAACGTGTTGGAGCTCCTTACCATCAACGGCGTGCTCTCTCTTCCCGAGGCCGTGATGCTGATGGTGCCCGAGGCTTGGCAGGGAAACCAGAGCATGGATCCCAAGAAGGCCGCCTTCTATGAGTGGGCAGCTTGCCAAATGGAGCCCTGGGATGGCCCTGCGCTCTTTACGTTCGCTGATGGTCGTTTTTGCGGTGCCAACTTGGATCGTAACGGTCTCAGACCTTGCCGTTATTATGTGATGGACGACGATCGCATTATCTGCGCGTCTGAGGTCGGCACTATCCCTGTTGAGCCCGAGAAGATCATTCAGAAGGGCCGTCTCCAACCTGGCCGCATGCTTCTCGTTGATACTCGCGCCGGTCGCATCATTGATGATTCCGAGTTGAAGGCTGCTGTCTCTAGCCGGGAGGACTTCAGGTCATGGCTCGACAACGAACTCATTACCATGCCTCAGGTGCTCGAGACGCTTTCCGGTAGCCAGAGCATTGAGCTTGCTGCCAAGCCTGATAACACCAAGATCCAGGAGGACCCCCTATTGCACGCTTTTGGATACACCTTTGAGCAGGTGAGCTTGCTTCTTGGCCCCATGGCCTCGGATGAAAAGGAGGCTCTTGGTTCCATGGGTAACGATGCTCCGCTTGCCTGTTTGTCCGATGCTCCCAAGTTGCTGTACGAATATTTCCGTCAGCTGTTTGCTCAGGTCACCAACCCGCCCATCGATCCCATCAGAGAGTCGATCGTCATGTCTCTTGAATGCTACGTTGGTCCCCAGGGCAACCTTCTCGAGATGGACTCGTCCCAATGTGGAAGACTTCTGCTTCCTAGCCCCATCCTCTCCATTCCTGAGTTCAATGCACTCAAGAACATGTCTACTATCCATCCCGAGTGGACTGTCAAGACCATTGACTTGACATTCCCCAAGAAGGAAGGCATTGAGGGCTACATTAGACACCTTGACTATATCTGCATGGAGGCTACTGCCGCTATTGAAGCTAGTGATCGTATCATTGTGCTGTCTGACCGCAACACCTCCAAGGACCGTGTCGCTGTTTCTGCTCTCCTCGCTGGTGGCATGGTTCACCATCACCTTGTCAGCAACAAGTGGCGTGCAATGGCAGCCATTGTCGCTGAGACGGCCGAGGCTCGTGAAGTTCACCACATGTGCGTCCTCCTCGGCTACGGTGTTGACGCCATCAACCCCTACCTTGCCATGGAGTGCATCATTAAGCTCAACAAGGAGAAGCTCATCAAGAAGAAGCTGACCGATGATGAGCTCATCTACAACTACAAGCACTCCTGTGATGGTGGTATCCTCAAGGTCATGAGCAAGATGGGTATCTCTACCTTGGCCAGTTATAAAGGTGCCCAGATCTTTGAGGCCTTGGGTGTCGACGACAGCGTGGTTGAGCGCTGCTTCAAAGGTACTGCCTCCCGTATCAAGGGTATAACTTTTGAACTTATCGCTGAGGATGCCTTCCGTTTGCACGAGCGCGGTTTCCCGTCGCGTTACACCGTTGCTGTTCCTGGACTTCCCGAGTCTGGTGAGTACCACTGGCGTGACAATGGCGAGGCACATATCAACGATCCTACTTCTATTGCAAACATCCAGGATGCCGTCCGTACCAAGAACGACAAGTCTTACGAGGCCTACTCACTCTCCGAGTACGAGCAGATCAAATCTTGCACGCTTCGTGGTATGCTTGACTTCAATTTCGAAGACTGCTCTCCTATCCCTATTGACCAGGTTGAGCCTTGGACCGAGATTGTTCGCCGATTCTGCACTGGTGCTATGTCGTATGGTTCTATCTCCCTCGAATCTCACTCTACCCTGGCCGTTGCCATGAACAGGCTTGGTGGCAAGTCCAACACCGGTGAAGGTGGTGAGGATCCTGAACGGTCCCAAAGGCTGCCGAACGGCGATACCATGCGCTCAGCCATCAAACAGGTGGCCTCAGGTCGCTTTGGTGTTACATCTGCTTATCTGGCCGACTCTGACGAACTTCAGATCAAGATGGCACAGGGTGCCAAGCCTGGTGAGGGTGGTGAGCTTCCTGGCCACAAGGTTTCTAAGTCCATTGCCCGCACTCGTCACTCTACCCCTGGCGTCGGCCTCATCTCGCCACCTCCTCATCACGATATCTACTCGATCGAAGACTTGAAGCAGCTCATTTATGACCTTAAATGCTCGAGTCCTCGTTCTCGCGTTTCCGTCAAGCTTGTGTCTGAGACTGGCGTTGGTATCGTCGCCTCGGGTGTCGCTAAGGCTAAGGCAGACCACATTCTCATCTCTGGCCATGACGGTGGCACTGGTGCCTCTCGCTGGACTGGTATCAAGTACGCCGGTCTCCCCTGGGAGTTGGGTCTCGCTGAGACTCATCAGACCTTGGTGCTTAACGACCTGCGTGGGCGCGTTGTCGTTCAGACTGATGGTCAGCTTCGTACCGGCCGTGATGTCGCCATTGCTTGCTTGCTGGGCGCTGAAGAGTGGGGATTTGCGACCACTCCTCTCATTGCCATGGGCTGCATCATGATGCGCAAGTGCCATTTGAATACCTGCCCTGTTGGTATTGCCACTCAGGACCCTGAGCTTCGGAAGAAGTTCACTGGTACGCCTGAGCATGTGATCAACTTCTTCTACTACGTAGCGAACGAGCTCCGTGCTATCATGGCCAGGCTTGGTTTCCGCACCATCAATGAGATGGTTGGTCATGTTGAGGTGCTCAAGGTCCGCGAGGATCTCAGGACCAAGAAGACCTCCAACATTGACCTATCTCTCATCTTGACTCCCGCCCATAAACTCCGTCCCGGAGTGGCAACTTTCAATGTCCGCAAGCAGGATCACAAGCTTTACGTTCGCTTGGACAACAAGCTTATTACTGAGGCTGAGTTGACTCTTGATAAGGGACTGCCTTCACGTATTGAGTGTGACATCGTTAACACTGACCGCGCCATGGGCACTTCACTGTCCTACCAAATTTCCAAACGCTATGGCGAGAAGGGACTGCCTGATGATACTGTCCATGTCAATATTAAGGGTTCTGCGGGCCAGTCCTTCGGTGCTTTCCTTGCTCCGGGTGTCACGCTCGAGTTGGAGGGCGATGCCAACGATTACGTTGGCAAGGGCTTGTCCGGTGGTAGACTGATTGTCTACCCCCCTCGTTCCGCTGTATTCAAGGCTGAGGAGAACATTATCGTTGGTAACGTGTGCTTGTACGGAGCCACTAGCGGTACCTGCTTCTTCCGCGGCGTTGCAGCTGAGCGTTTCGCTGTACGCAACTCTGGTGCCACCGCCGTGGTTGAGGGTGTCGGTGATCACGGCTGCGAGTACATGACTGGTGGTCGGGTCGTGATCCTGGGAAGCACTGGCCGTAACTTTGCTGCTGGTATGTCTGGTGGAATCGCCTACATCTTGGATATTCAGGGCGACTTCTTGACCAAGCTCAACACCGAGATGGTTGAAGCCAGCACTCTTGAGGAGGCGGAGCCTGAAGAGATCGCATTCATCCGCAGTCTCGTTGAGGATCATCACCACTACACTGGTTCCGAGCTTGCTGCTCGTATTCTGGTTGACTTCTCCCGTGCCCTCAAGCGCTTCATCAAGGTACTACCCGTCGACTACAAGCGCGTACTGGAGGAGGAGAAGGCCAAGGCTGTCAAGCAGGCTGCCGAGACCAAGCGGGCTGAGTACAGCCTTCCTGCGGCTGCGAGAAAGGAGAAGGATCCTCATGCGCCCAAGCTTCAGGATATCGAGGAGAGTATTACCGATAACGCTATCAGCAAGAAGAAGGCCCTTGTATTGGACAAGACGCGCGGTTTCATGAAGTATCAGCGTCGCGCTGAGAAGTACCGGAAGCCCGCGACTCGTGTTAAGGATTGGGCTGAACTGTCTCAGCGTCTTGATGAGGACGAACTCAAGTACCAGTCTGCCCGTTGCATGGACTGCGGTGTTCCCTTCTGCCAATCCGATAGCGGCTGCCCAATTTCCAACATCATCCCCAAGTGGAATGAGCTGGTCTTCCAGGGTCAGTGGCGAGATGCATTGAACCGCCTGTTAATGACCAACAACTTCCCCGAGTTTACTGGTCGCGTTTGCCCTGCTCCCTGCGAGGGTGCTTGCGTCTTGGGCATCAACGAGCAGCCTGTTGGTATCAAGTCGATTGAGTGCGCCATCATTGACCGTGGTTTCGAGATGGGATGGATGGTACCGGAGCCCCCTAAGATTCGCACGGGCAAGAACGTTGCCATCATCGGATCTGGTCCCGCTGGTCTCGCTGCCGCCGACCAGCTGAACAAGGCTGGTCACAACGTTACTGTGTATGAGCGCGCCGACCGTCTTGGTGGTCTGCTCATGTATGGCATTCCCAACATGAAATTGGACAAGCGCATCGTCAAGAGACGTACTGATTTCATGGCTGCTGAGGGTGTCCAGTTCAAGACTGGCGTTGCGATTGGCGAGGATATGACACTCAAGGATCTCAAGAAGCAGAATGATGCTGTCATCATTGCTACCGGTGCCACTGTCGCCCGCGACCTTCCTATCAAGAACCGCAATCTTGAGGGCATCCATTTCGCTATGGAGTTCCTGCACAAGAACACCAAGTCTCTTCTTGATTCCGAACTGGCCGACGATTCCTACATCTCCGCCAAAGATAAGCATGTCATTGTTATTGGTGGTGGTGATACCGGTAACGACTGCATTGGTACCTCTGTCCGCCACGGTGCCAAGTCGGTCATTAACTTTGAGCTTCTCCCCAAGCCTCCCCCGGCTCGCGGCCGCGATAACCCGTGGCCGCAGTGGCCCCGCGTCTACCGCGTGGACTACGGCCACGATGAGGTCAAGCAACACACGGGCAAGGATCCTCGTGAATACTGCATCATGTCGGAGGAGTTTGTCGATGACGGCAACGGAAAGGTGAGGGGTATCAACACGATCCGCGTGGAGTGGACCAAGTCTGCCAGCGGCGGTTGGGACATGAAGAAGATCGAGGGCTCGCAGCAGTTCTTCCCTGCCGATCTTGTCCTGCTGTCCATGGGCTTTTTGGGACCTGAGGCTCGTGTGCTCGGCGATGAAATCGAGAAGGATCCTCGCAAGAACGTAAAGACTCCTCCCGGCAAGTATAGCACCAACGTCGAGGGCGTGTTCGCTGCCGGTGATTGCCGTCGTGGACAGTCGCTCATCGTCTGGGGTATCAACGAAGGTCGCCAGGCTGCTCGCGAGGTGGATCTCTACCTCGAGAAGAGCACATGTTTGCCTGTTACTGGTGGTATCGTCAAGCGCACCGCTGAGGAGGTGTTCGCCGCTGCCGCCGCAGCTTAAATGGTGACGGGGAATGTCATGATATCAGGAAGAGGATACGGTTGGGACCATTACCGTGATGGATGAGAGCGGCGATGGGAATTCCTATGATTTATTCTGCATCGGGTTCATTCAAGGTTGATACCACTGGTGGAAGCGTTTGTTTCTTGGCTGCGGATTCTTTTTGTTTCTTACCTTTCAAAAGAAAGCATGCATGCTCATATGGCCTTTTTGGGATTGCGATGTTCTCGCCAGTTTCCTGTTCTGATTTATTTCTCGATCGTTTGGTTCTGGGGTGGTCGGGTTGTGTATATACCATTAACGTTTTACGAATACATATTATTATTATTTTTACGAATGTTCCTGGACTCGCTACATCAGATATCATGCAACAAACTGACCTTGCTGCATGTGAGGTTATCGTGACATTCCTGTCTTGGCGGGGAGTACGTATGTAGGTTGTTGAGAATCTGCGGACGGCGATGGGGGCACGTGTAGCCATGATTGGCCAATTGCAGGCCTGGACACCCCTGTCAGCATTGGTGGGTTTGACTGGAGCAGGCCTCGAACGCGCTCCGACGCAATCCCTGCGACAGTGACGAAGTGATGTGGGGATGTTTCCACGAAGGTCTGGCGTCTCCACGGTACGGGCCACGAACAACACTGCAATCGTTAGCGCAATGACCTTCTCTGCTCAATCGTGTGATCGCATCTTGGTTTTTTGTTTGCCCAACTGAATTCTTCCGTCGCCTTCCAGCGAGGGAGCTTGAAAGTCTCGATTTCCCGCAATCAATTCTCGCAACAGCATCATCGCATCACATTTTCTCAACAGCGTCTTCCACACAAGCCTCAATTAGCAGCAGCACCAGCAGCAGCAGTAGGTAGCAACACGACAACATCACTGCGACCATGCGTTTCGGCAAGACGCTCAAGCAGTCCATGTACGAGCCATGGCGGGACAAGTACATTGAATATGATAAGCTCAAGAGCCTCCTCCGAGAGGATAGACCTGACGATGACGAACCATGGACCGAGGAGGATGAGGTCCGCTTCTGCGACGAGATTTTCAATGTCCAGCTCGAAAAGGTCGCCCAGTTCCAGGAGGAGAAGATGCAGGAGCTGCGTCAGCGAGTAGATGCCGCCTTCGACAAGCTCAGAGATCTGCCACCGGCCGATTCCGAAAACAAGGACAAACCGACCGACGAAGCCCTCGCCCAACGACTCAAAGAACTCGAGGCCGAGCTGGATGCCATTACAAACGAAGTCAAGGAACTTCGAAAGTACAGCAATCTGAACTACACGGGCTTCCTCAAGATCGTCAAGAAGCATGACCGGAAGCGTGGCGATCGGTACAAGATCCGTCCCATCATGCAGGTCAGCCTGTCCAAGCGGCCCTTCAACTCGGAGCAAGGGTACACGCCTCTGCTCAACAAGCTGTCGCTCTTGTACTTCGCCATCCGCCAACATCTCGAAGAGAATGGTTCCGTAGAGCCGTACCATCTCGATCCCATAAGTCAGCCCGAGACACACAACGGCGAGAAGTATACGGCCTACAAGTTCTGGGTACACCCCGACAACCTGCTCGAGGTGAAGACGTATATCCTTCGTCGGCTCCCTGCCCTTGTTTACAGCCACCAGTCGTCCAAGGAATGGGATGGAGACGAGGACCCGACCATCACATCCTTGTACTTTGACAATGCCAACTTCCAGCTGTACTACCAGAAGGTGGAACGTGAAGCCGAGGCGTCATCGCTCCGCTTGCGTTGGTATGGTCAATTGAGCCAGAATCCAGAGATCGTGTTTGAGCAAAAGATCATACACGACAACGGCACTAGCGAGGAGCGCAAGTTCCCCATTAAGGAGAAGTACATCAAGCCCTTTTTGGATGGCGAGTACAAGATGGAGAAGTCGATCCAGAAGATGGAACGACAGGGCCAGAGCACCGCAGACGTGGAAGAGTTTCGTTCCACTGCCGAGGCGATTCAGGATTACATTCGCAGCAACAAACTCGAGCCCGTCGTTCGCGCAAACTACGTCCGAACGGCCTTCCAGAATCCCGGAGATGATCGCATTCGCCTGTCTATTGACACCGACATTGCCTTCATTCGCGAGGATACCCTCGACCGCGATAGGCCGTGCCGTGATCCAAACAACTGGCACCGTACCGATATCGACGACAGCAACATGACCTATCCCTTCAAAAACATCAACCAGAGCGAGGTGTCGCTGTTTCCCTATGCAGTGTTGGAAATCAAGCTGAAGGAAGACCAGAACCGCAAGCGACCTGTCTGGGTCACGGACCTGATGGCCTCGCATTTGGTCCACCCTTGCCCTCGCTTTTCCAAGTTCATGCAAGGCGTCGCCTCTCTTTTCGAGGACTACGTCAACAGGTTGCCCTTCTGGCTGCCCGATCTGGACACCGATATCCGCAAGGATCCCCAAGTGGCCTTCGAGGAGGAGGAGGTGAAACGAGCCCACCGTGCACAGAACGAGCAAGTAGTCGGCAGTTTCCTCGGAACCAAACTAGGCAACTCGTTCAAGCCATCTCGGAGCTCTCCAGTGGCCAAGTCATACCTCGCCGAGCGGGTGGCGGCCGAGAGCAGCGGCGCCAAAGCGCAAACCCCCGCCTCCGGGGCGACAGACAGGACCCCTACCGCTGTTACTCCGGCCGGTGAACTCAACGAAAGCAGCAGCAGCCAGCAACAGGATGGCGGCCAGCAACAAGGAGGCCGTAGCGAGTACGGCACCATGACCCTCTCCTCCGTCTTCCCTGGCTTCTCTCTCTCCAAGTACTCCAAAGCCATGCGTCTCAAGCGGGCCCAGGGCGAAGGCGGCCGCCGTGGCTCCGTGACCCTGCCGCCCGGCGTCGAGGAGCCTACCGAGTGGCTCAAGAACTCAGGCCCCTTGCAGATCGAGCCCAAGGTCTGGCTGGCCAACGAGCGGACGTTCCTCAAGTGGCAGCACATTTGCGTGCTGCTCGGCGGCTTGGCCATCAGCTTGTACACAGCCGCGGGCAGGGGCACGGTGGCGGAGTGGATTGCGGTTGGGTTCATCATCATTGCGGCGTTTGCCGGTGGCTGGGGGTATTTCTTGTTGCACTCGAGGAGGAAGATGATCATTGAACGGAGCGGCAAGGACTTTGACAACTTCTTTGGCCCATTGGTGATCAGTGTTGCACTGATGGTAGCGCTGATTCTGAACTTTAGCTTTGCGGTAAGTCTTCCAGATGTCTTTTGAGCAGTCAGGGTACAGAGTAATTGCTGACTTATGTGGCTTTAGTATCGCGACTTCTTGGCTAGAGCTCAGGCTAGAGCTGCGGTTGAAGCTCTGTTCATCCAAAGCAGCAACGCATCGGCGAGTCACATCGACCTGAGATAGTGGTGTTTGTAGAGCTTGGTCGGTTGACGTGAGACTAGAAAAGAAATTCATGCTTGATGAACGAAGGGATAACAAAAGATTGGATACGGAAAACAAACTTGGTTATGACTGCATGATTTGGGGATCTGGCGTGTGGCCGATGGTTGAGTAGAAGAATGTCTCGACGGGGATTGTGTTGAGGTAGGCATACATACAGTTTGGCATGATTGGAAGCATCAAGATTAGTATGCAAGGGCACTTGAATCGGTAACATGTTGATGGCTATGGAAAGGGGGCATGTCCCTCTCTTTCTCTCTCTCTCTCTCTCTCTCTCTCTCTCTCTCTCTTGATGTGCGCACGGACCATTGTTGCTCTGGAAAATGTAAATGGACTGAAGTTCTGAACTGGACGGCAATTCCATGCAAACAACATCTCACCAGCGCCTTTGACAAACTCGCAACAATCACCGTGATCATTTCCCCCAAACTCCAGACGGTGGTCATATGAAGGAAAGCTCAACCACTCGACGGCCAGCCTGCTAAGATTTTCACTTGCGTCGGTTTAACGAGCCCTCGCCATCAAATCGACCAGCTGAAGGGAAATCACAATCAGGCGGGAATCATAATCAACAATCAACGACATCACCCACCATCATCAACAACAAAAACTCACATCACACAATTACTGCCAACAAATATGTCATCGCAAATTTCTCTCCACCCTCGTCCTCTCCAACCATCGCCTTCCTCAAGCTCATCAACACCCGCAACCAACCCACTCCCAACCCTTATCCAAACCCCCACGGGCCTCGCCCTCCTCGAACTCCAAGGAACTCTCAACATCCGCGACTTTGACCCATCCTCTACAGAACAAATCACTCCAATCCCTGTAGGGAGGATCGATTTCCCCGATTACCAGCCCAACTCCCTCACCTTTGATCCCAACGACAAGAAGTGGATGAAGAGGGTGTATATGTACATTGGCGAGCATCAGCGGTTGCATGGGGAGGTGAAGGGGCTGGGGAAGGCGGTGGGGGTTGTGAGGAGGAGGGTACGGCAGCGGGAGGGGGTGAACGGGGAGGAGGAGGAAGAAGAACAGAAAGAGGAGTTGGAGGTGTTGGATATTATAAGGTACAAGATTGTTTTTGGGACGAGGCCGGAGCCGGTTACTGGGGGGGAGCAGTTCATTGGACGGGGTTCTGAACAGACCTAGGGTTAAGGACGGGAGGGTGTGGAGGAGGGGGTTGGTGGTGGCGAAAGTTAGGAATAGCTCTTAAAGAAAGGAAAATAAGAAAAAAAGGTTCAGGCCATGGAACAGAAGGCCAACCTCACAGTCACCACAGGTAGCTTTGTTATCTACTTTTATGAAAGGAGGGTGGTGTGGTACATAGGTGCTGAAGTTGAAGATGACAGAGGGAATTTGACGAGTTATAGTGGATATTCCTATAACCCCCTCACACTTTGTTACATACAGTCGTTAGCATAGCTCGGTTACTCTGGTGCTACGTTTATCTTTGAAGAGATGGATAGATAAAAAGGTGTCATATGACCTTTGTCTCCTTCCCATCCCAAATTTTTTACTTTTTTATTTTACATTTTTTTTTAGCAGCTCAATACAAGTAGGTAGGCGTTGTGGTTCCTGACTAATGTTTGAAGGGTCCTCCATGGAAAAAGCACGAGGTCACGAGGTCCCCTGGATCCTGGGTCTGGATCCAGCCTGTGATACCATGATAGGTAGGACGAGAGCGGTGAATGATATGTGTGAAGAATGAGGTTGCAGTTCGAGGCCGATTCGTCGCGGGAAAAAGAATGTGAAGGCGTCTACCGGTGTAAGGTAGTGTGAGTGCACCGGTGTAACTCAGCTTGCTCCTTCCCAAGTCCGACACAGCTTCATCTCTGTCATCATTGTATACACTACTGTACCTACCTACCTAGTCTCGCTAGTGTAGTACCTCTAGACTTGGAGGCTCCGATCAGATGATGCATCCTATCGACTTCCACTTGCCCGCCCCAGTCTCCGATGACCTGAAGCTTTGAATGGAGGTACTGAGAGTAGACTCGCTCTCGGAGACACGTTGTTCACACTTCACATGTCGAACGACAAAAAGACCAGCTTGGGTGTCAACAAGAGAGGATCAACAAAGCAAGCTCGAGGCAAGCGAGGCAAGTCAAGATGGTGCCCCGCCAACCGGTGTCGTTGGAGCTGTCAAAATTGTCCACTGAAGGGTGGGGGATGCTGCAGCAGACGCCACAGCGGGTTCTGACTGGCTGATAGGGGCGCGGGCACTTTCAGTGGGAATGCACAATTCCCTTCCAAGTTGCCGCGAGAGTTCCCTTGATGGGATCACCACTGCAACAATAGGGTAGGTAGTGATGATCCATTGCCCGACGCTCGTATGGCCCGCATTTTCGTTCCCGCTTCAGTTCCAGTTAGGGCCGAGTCCCGGGCCACGCAACCGCCAGAAACCTACCTATAGGGAACTAGGTACACACATCACAAGTGGAAGCTATGGATCCCTGATGGTCCCCTTTTTCCAACTCACTCTCATCTCCACTTCGTCAATGGCGACGGCTTGTCCACACTTGCTGCATACCTAGGTAGCCTGGCACCAATGTTCTAGATCAATACTTAGCTGGTATACATGCCACACAGGAACCTGTCTTCTGTCCTTTCTCTACTCTTCAATTCATCAACTGTTTGCCGATTCTTCGAACCTGGTGTCCGAACCCTTGACCGTCAACGAACCATCCAGTGCCGGATACTATAATAGGGCCGCCACACTCCCTTAGTTGCCAGACACGGTCTGCACTTCCTCTGCCCATCTTGCCGCCAACATACAGAGCAGCCTAACGGATTCGCATCGCATTGCGATCCTGTAGTACTCGCACTCAGATCATTGACTGAAAATCACAGTCACACAGCCTACTATGAAGTTTGGCAGAAAGTATACAAGCCTAAGCCTGGTCTTCTCTGCCTCACAAGCTAACCGTTCGACAGTCTCCCACGTAACCAGGTCCCAGAGTGGGCAGCCTTTTACATCAACTACAAAGGCCTAAAGAAGCTGATCAAGGCCGCCCAAGGAGCGGCCAAGAGTGGGGAGCCGGTAGATTTGGCCGAGTTCTTCTTCGCCTTGGATCGAAACCTTGAAGATGTTGACTCCTTCTACAACAAAAAGTATGCCGAGGCCTACCGGCGACTGAAGGTGCTGCAGGATCGCTATGGCAAGACTCCCGAGATTGTCTCCAACCTCGACGATGACGAGGTTGAGGAGCTGATGGGAGCCCTTCTCGAGCTGCGAAGTCAGTTCCGGAAGCTGCAATGGTTCGGCGAAATCAACCGTCGTGGCTTTGTCAAAATCACAAAGAAGCTGGACAAGAAGGTCCCCAACACAAAAAGCACCCAGCACAACTACATTTCCACAAAGGTCGATCTGTTGCCCTTCGCCAAGGATACCGCCATTAGCCTCCTGTTGACCGAGATCAACAAGTGGCTGTCAAAGCTGGGAGATGCACAAAACATTGATGAGACCAAATCCGAGAGATCGACACTCTCGCTGGGTCGTGCTTCTGCAAAGGCTATGCTTAACATACCCAGTGCGCTTTTCGACAAGTTGGATCAAGCCATTCGTAAAGACGAAGTCGCGGCTTTGGAGCAAGGTCTCAAGGAGGGAAACCTAGCGGGCTCAGAGGGCTCATCACCATTACAACAGCCCTTGCTGCTTAACCTACTCCAGCGGTCCATTTCCTCCCGTTCGAGAGACTGTATCGTGTTCCTCCTCAAGCAAGCCAACTCGCTGGACGAGCCCGACGACATCAACGAACGCAACTGCATCCACAGACTTGTCATTCACATCGGTCGCACAAAAACGGCCTCGCTCCTCAGTAGTGAGCCAGAAGCTGAATCGTACCCCTTCCCGCGCACCGGGGTTCACTACGCCCAGCCCTACCTCACCCCAGCCACTTCTCCCTTGTCAGCACCGCGCGGGACGACCTTAAAGGAGTCAAAACTCCTCGGCCATGATGATGAAGCAATCCAGCTGCTCAAATACCTACTAGAAAACCTGAGGCCAGACCAAAGAGTGGCTCTGGTTGCCAAAGACGGATTTGGCCGTATACCGCTCCACTATGCGGCGCAGTTCGGCTTCGTCGTCGTCTGCCAGATCATCATGCGCAAGATGCAGGACTGGGGACAGTTCAACGTCGAGAATGGCATCGACGCCCCCGAATGGCAGGACAAGGATGGAAACGCGCCGCTGCACTTGAGCGTTATAGGCGGCCACCCGCTAACCACCAAAGCGCTGCTTCAAGGAGAGAACTGGAAGGGGGTTAATGACCACCAAGCCGAAATGAGGCGTGCCATCTCCAAGTCGAGCGCGGTGCTGGCTCTCGCGACCAAGGCCAACTCCAAGGACATCGTCGAGTTGCTGGTCAATGCAGGAGTGGACATCAACTGGCAGGACAACAGCGGCGAGACAGCCTTGCACGTTGCTGCCAGATTTGGCCACGATGAGTGCGCCAGGGTGTTGCTCAAGGGTACTGAGCAGCAAAAGGCCAACCTGGAATTGGCTGAGAAGAACTTTGCGTGGACCCCGCTGCACATTGCGGCGGTTGATGGGCATCTGGGTGTCGCTCAGCTGCTCGTGGATGCTGGTGCGGATGTGGACAAGTTGGATTCGTCTGGCTGGACGGCAAAGGAGCATGCGGCGCTGAGAGGCCATCTCGATATTGCACGACTCCTGTCTGCTCACAGTCAAGCCCCTGAGGATGAGGGGGGCAGCAGCTCCGACGGCGACGATGAAAAGTCATCGACGACCACACCGTACCCCGAGACCGACAACAATACGCTGTCTGCATCCCTGGGAGATAGACGGTCCAACGCAACGTCGCGTCCCGCTGAACCCGTCAAGACCTTTGGTCACAGGTACCTCAAGGATGAGAGCCTCGTGCTGGTCAGTCTGGGTTCAATGGATATGCGCAAGGGAATTGAGGCAATCAAGCTGGACAAGGTGCCTCTTGCCGAAGCGCACACTACACAGTTGGATACGGCTCTGTCGGTTGTCGTCTCCGCCCAAGGCGCGAAGGGCGACCCGACTATGATCGACCTGCCTGTTCACGAGAACATCTCTACCGAGCCTATCCTCTTCACCACCAGGGACGCCGCCAAGGTCAGACTCTTCTTCGATATTGTGCCGACATACTCGGGTAACGAGAAGAACAAGGTTGGTCGAGGTGTTGCTCTCCTTTCGAGTGTCCGCCCCACCGTCGGCACCAAGAGGATGAATTTGCAAGGCGACATCTCGGTGCCGATTATGGGCAGCAACTTTGAAGTCATCGGCACAGTCAATTTCAATTTCCTGGTCATCACTCCTTTCTCTCACCCAAAGATGGAAGTAACCTCTCAGCAGACGTACTGGAAGAAGCTGGACTCTACCATGGTTATTGGCCACCGCGGCCTCGGCAAGAACGTTGTCGCCAACAAGTCCCTCCAGCTAGGCGAGAACACGATCCCATCGTTCATTGCCGCCGCTAACCTCGGCGCTCAATACGTCGAGTTCGACGTGCAACTCACCAAGGACCACGTCCCTGTCATCTACCACGACTTCCTCGTCAGCGAGACGGGTTTCGACGCACCCGTGCACACTCTCACTCTCGAACAGTTCCTCCACATCAACCCAGACTCGTCCCGCTCGGGCACCCACCACCATCACCATCACCACCACGGTCATCATGGCCACCACGGCCAACCTAGCCAACAAGCCCAGCATAGGCAGCTGAAGAAGTTCCGCAGCAACAGCCCCGGCCCACGGCAGCGCTCCATGTCCATGGACTTCCCCGGAGATGGTAAAGACCTGATGGAAGAGCGCATGAAACACACGCGCGACTTCAAGGAAAAGGGCTACAAGGGCAACTCGCGCGGCAATTTTATTCAAGCACCCTTTGCAACGCTCGAGGATCTGTTCCGCAAGCTGCCCGAGAGCGTGGGCTTCAACGTCGAGATGAAGTACCCGATGCTGCACGAGACGGAGGAGCACGAGATGGACACGTACGCGGTTGAGCTCAACTCGTTCTGCGACACGGTCCTCCAGAAAGTGTACGACATGGCGGGGCAGCGGCACATAATCTTTTCGAGCTTCAACCCGGATATCTGCTTGTGTCTGAGCTTCAAGCAGCCCAACATTCCGATTTTGTTTTTGACGGATGCGGGCACGTGTCCTGTCGGCGATGTCAGGGCGAGCAGTCTGCAGGAGGCCATCCGGTTCGCGAGCAGGTGGAATCTGCTGGGTATTGTGAGCAACGCCGAGCCGCTGATTAACAGTCCGCGGTTGGTGAGGGTGGTGAAGCAGAGCGGATTGGTTTGTGTCAGTTATGGGTCGCAGAATAATGATCCAAGCTTGGTGCAGGTGGGTTTTTCTTGATGCATTCAAATTCCTTTTGTCATTTGAAGCAGGCTAACCAACTTTCTTCTTTACTCATAGAAACAAGTCAAGGAGGGCATCGACGCCGTCATTGTCGACAGTGTCCTGGCCATCCGTAAGGGACTGACCAGGGACCAAGGCAACGTCAATGGTAGCGGCGGCAGTAACGCCAAAGAACTTCAGCAGAGGGTGAGGGAGGTGGAGGAGGCCATCAAGAAGGAGGAGCGAATCGAGGAAGAGGGTTCGTCTGCTGAGGGAAGCAGCAATGGGGATAGTAACGGTAACGGTAACGGTAACGGTACCGAGATCCGGATGACTACCAATGCAGGAGAAGACACTGGGACGGAAATCAAGGAGACCTTGAGGGCTTTGCGGACATGAAGGATGGCCGGGGAAGGGGGGTTTGGGATAGCGATGCCAGGCGCATTTGAAGGGGAAGCGTTGGTTTTGGTACATGATTATCAAATTGCAATAGCCAATTTAGCAGTCAAGGTTCAAGTTGTTTGAGACATCGAAAGAGTCATCACCAAAGTGCCCGGCTTGGGTAGAGTGGAAGCTGGAGAGGAGGGCCAAGAGGGACCTGAGGGTTGTCGTCGGGTACACTCATTCAGTAATCGTGCACTGGCCAGATTTGTTACCTAGCGCAGTCCAGTGTGGGCTGCCTCACCCAGAGGTGCCCGATGTGGACGGCACCCACCCACCAAGGAACTGCTTGACAAGGGAACAGTGGCTGAGACGATGTCGTGTGTGTGCGCGGGACTGCATACCTACCACCTCTCGTCTAGAATAGATTGCGTAGGTAACCTTGAAAAATGATGGAATTGATCCTTGATCAGCTGGGCTCCATATTGGCCTTGTGGGCAGTGTACCTCTAGGCCTTGGTGTGGTTGCGTAAGAGAGGCAGGTTTGGGTCATGATTAACAGGACCCTGGGTCACTAGTTTGCTTGATGCCCCTCTATAATTCTCGAGATCGGCTGTTTTCACACCAGCAGCAATCAGGCTACACAGTCTCACAACGTTACTCCTAAGAAGCCTTTGTCCTTTTGATACCTTGATTCTCGTCCTTTTTCGATTTCTTGAGCCTTTTTGACGTGGAAACTTTAACCGTTCAGGTAAGGAGCCACCAAGGCACCATTGCGTGTTGAACTTAACAAGGAGAAGGGAGGTACTACTAGAGGTACCTCTACCGGGCCGACCATCACACAGTTTGGCCGATCGTTTCACACTCACGCACTCGCTCCGTCGTTGCTCGGCTGACAGCACTCAACTGACTGACCATTACGTCCACGTCCACTCCAGTCCAATCGTCCGAGGCCATCGCGCGCCATTTCAGCCACCAGTCATTCTTATCCTCCGGCCAAACTCTTCCTGTCTAGCTCCTTCTTCGCCCAATCCAATACGAACGCGACCGGATACGCTTTGTCGACCGGAAGACGACTCGGGCGCGAACTGACCAAGGCGCTCTCGGTTGGAATTGGAAACTCGACATCTCCTCATTGAACACCTCGCAACTTTAATTCGAATCTCTTTTCCACACACACCCCCAAACAAAATAGAAAAAGAAGAAGAAAAAAAGGCCCGCTCAACAAACCTTAACCGACAGTCAACATCCCATACACAAGTCAACTCGATGGCAGGCCCTGCGTCTCCCGGCAACGACGGCCCAACCTTTGCGCCCCCGCCGCTCCCGGCCGGCTGGATCGCGCAATGGGATAACGCCTCCAAGAAGTACTACTACGTCCAGCTCTCCACCGGCGTTTCGCAATGGGAGACTCCCACAGATCCAGCTCCCGTTGGCGCCACCCCCGGAGCCGCTCATGAACATCCGTACGGCGTGCCCGGTAGCGACGCCGATAGGAAACCCGAGATCATCACTTACCCAGACGGCAGCCAGAGCGCCAAGTACCCCGATGGAAGAGTAGAGCCGGTTGCTCCACGAGAGGATGGCACGAGGGGAATTGGAGGCCCTGATCAGGATAGAAGTTTGGGTGTATGTTCTTCCCCCCCCCCCCCCTCTTTGTCTCTTCTGTCCTGAACGTTGGTGAAGTAGGCGTGACTAACACTTCCACCTTCTATGTTAGTCTTTTATTGGAAACACTCTCATTAGCAACCTCGCCGGCGGAGGTAAGCAGTCCCACGGAAGCAGCAGCGGTGGCGGTGCAGGTGGCCTGGTTGGCTCCCTGCTTCAGGGCGTCACGGGCGGTGGAGGCCACGGCTCTAGCGGACACGGAAACAGCAGCAGCGGCGGAGGAGGCCTTGGTGGAAAGATTGCGTCCCAGCTTGTCTCGGGCATGTTCTCTCCCGGTGGGAGCAACAAGCCCAAGCCTTCGTCCTCGTCCTCATCCTCGCAGCAACACAATTACCACGGCAACCAGTCATCTTCGCATAGCTCTTCGGGCAGCCACGGCGGTGGTCTCGCTGGCGTCATGGGCGGCATCGGCAATCTGTTCGGAAACAAGCCCAGCTCTGTAAGTTGAATAACTGAACCCCACCGTAACTTCAAGAAGCAAAGGCTAATCAGAGAACTCCTGGTCAGAGCTCCGGCTTCGGCTACTCCAACTCGGGACAAAGCGGTTCCTACAGCGGCCAGACACCTCCCGCGACATATCAGCAAGCCACGTCGGGAGGTGGCTCATCCTCCACCTACCACACGGCCGGGCCCACGTCCCAATCGCACCAGTCACACCAATCGCACAGCGGCAGCAGTACCCCTTCCTACGGCGCGGCCGGCCAACATGCCCCCTACGGCCAAAACCAGCACGGTCAGCAGCCTCCTTACGGTAGCACCTCCTCCTACACCTCACCTCCGACTGGCCAGCAGCCCCAGTATGCTCCTCCCCCGGCCGAAGGACCACCGGGACAATATGGACAGCAAGGGCAGTACGGACAGCCCCCGCAGCAGCAACATGGGTATCAGGGTGCCCCGTATGGTCAGCCACAAGCAGGCGGCTACTATCAGCAGGCCCCCTCGTACGGACAACCGCCGCAGGGAGTTCCCTATGGCCAGCAGCAGCCTCCGTATGGCGGACACCAGGGGCAACAACAGCAGTACCCACCGCCGCCTACTACCTATGGCCAGCCGCCTAGTGGTCAGTATGGCCAACAGCCTCAGTACGGCGTGCCGCCGCAGGGACAGTATCGGTATTAGGGAGGCCAGCCTCATGATGATGGACTGCGTTTGACCGTGAAAGTTGCCGGTAGCCGTCAGCACCAGTTCACCGGCGTCACGTTGAGAGGTGGAATGGGAATGCCGCCAGCAGCGTCGAATTCGCGGTATGATAACGAGCTTCAAGGACGGCTACTCTGATTTCAGGTTACGCGCAACGCCAAAAGTGGTCGACGTATAGAGGAATGAACAACCTGGCGAAGATACCAAGGACTTACAGGGGTGAGGCCGGACATGGTCGGTTCAAAGGACATAATCGGGTAAAAAAGCTTTTAACGACCAGGTTATCGTTTTGGGAGAGGGATGCGAAGACGTAACAGGATGAGCTAGGTATCTTGAAGTTGTCGAACATCTGGGCCTGGAGCCGTAATCAGTACACAGAGGCCAGCTACTCTGGGTGGTACCAAAAAAAAGCCACGGCACAGTAAGGCAGTGGGGAATCCCTCTATGACGAAGCAATGAGAGCGTACACTAGCACGGAAACGTAATCCTTCCCTTCAGTCGTACTCCTGGGTCGCATATATCGGAGGATGGAACGTGTTGTGGAGCCAAGTGACTGGAGGAATCAAGGAAGTAGTGATATTGAAGATGTATGCTGATTGGCGTCGGCAGTTTGGTTAAGCACCACTGCGTAGTTGTGTATGTTTGTGGCGTCTATGCGGCGATGGGGTATATGATCTTCTTTTTGAGTCTTGCTCTTCAAAATATGGTATTGATATTGGGGATTACAGCGTACATGTACAAACCTTGGTGAAGGCGAGAAGGGAGGGTTTGCTTGTATGTGTGAACGTCTACACAGGATTATGTTTCATCTGCAGCCATTTGGGCACAAGCGAGGGCTTGCGCCGAATACTTAGGAAGGAGACATAGACAGACGGCTGGCGAAACTGAAAGGTGCGATGGGAACGGCAGCAATCTCGTTCCTGTCTCGCATACGTATGGCTTTCCTGTAACAAATATACCATTCACAACGAGCAAAAGCGATTCTCAAGGATATCACGTCCATTATCCGTTTTTTCCCTTTTACTACCACCTTCAGATAGCCCTCTTCGCCTGTCTATCTCTCTTCATTCAGTCTTATCTCTCCTTCTTACTCTCCTCCACACCCTCACCCACCTCCTCAGCTTCCATCCCGCTCGACACGATGTCTCCAACCAGAAAGGAAACCACTCTCTTCGAGACTACCCATCCAGCCACAGCAACGATAATGATCCAACCAATCGTCGGCACCAACGACCGAGGAAGCACGTTGAACAGGAACGGGTCAAGAATGATGTCCACGTCCACCGGCGGTGGGTGAAGCATGAGACTGGCATTGGAGGTGAAGTAATCTGCTGCGGCGGATATGTGGAGGAGGAGAGCCCCGGCCGAGGAGGAGGAGGAGGAGGAGGAGGAGGAGGAGGAGGAGGAGGAGGAGGAGTGCGATGATGATAATCCACCAGAGTGCTGTGACTGTGGTGAGACGGCTGGCAAGTATCCCATCAAGGATCCTGCGAGGTGAGGGGTAGTGATGACTTCTTTGGGGGTGTAAGTTTCCATGTAAAAGTTTGTTGGTTGCTTTTTTTGTTTTGTTATGAACATGTGTTAGTGATAGGTTACCCACTGAAGCGGACATAATAATATGACATACCGTAGCAGCCCAACAAACTCTCACTTCATACCTCTGCCTGTCCGTCAACCCCTCCAAAAGAAACCATGCATCTTCCCCGCGAGGGTGGTCGGCGGATGGGAAGACACGGTTTAACCGGGTCCGGAGTGAAGACCGATCATTCGGGGTGGGTGTGAGAGTGTGGATGTGGTGGAGTTTGGTGTCTAGCCATCGCTGTGCTGCCTGGTCATCTTTTATGACAGTTTCCTTTTCCGAGGGGGAAGAGGAGGGGCCGAGAAAGATGGTCTTCTCTACATTGGCGAGAACCAGAGAGAGAAGGGATATGATGAGGAGGAGGAGGAGGGGTGTTGGAGGGAAGTGAGGCATGGTGTTGTTGTTTACTTGGGGAGGGGGGACTTTGTTTATGTTGGCCCCCTAAGACTCTCCTGAAGACAAGACGATGGATGCTGGCATAAAAAACTGGAGACAAGATGGCTGAACAAGTCTTCGGTGGGCCGAAGCCCAACCATGGTCTCACATAATTTGTCATGGATGAGCCAAGGTCTCTCCCCAGATTAACCCCACAGTCGGAGAAGGGCTGGCCTGGCTGGGTAAATTTACCCCGGAATAAGTGGAACCCCACTGGAGCTCTAACGGTGGGCTCCCAGGATTGACAGCGTTCCGTTCACTGACATGCTCGACGCTGGAACGATCACATGCTTCGGCCGTTCTTCCCTTTCCTCGCTTGATTATATTTGTGGTACACCAAGCAATTCGAGCCGATCCGACGGTCCAACGACGACTGCCCATTCCAGCTAAAGAAGTGCGTGACGCATCTTCCTACTTTCACGACAATCCGAAACTCTGGAGATTATTCTACCATGTCCATGTCGACAGGTTGCGCCATCACAACCTCGACCATTGTCTATCATTCGCTTTAAGCATCGCGATCATCGGCTTACACCACCTGACTACCCAAGTGTATTGCAAAAAAACCACCGACGAGAGAGACACTGGCCTGTCGCATGTTGGCGCCTGTCTGATTCCGAGTACCGAAGCCTCAACAGCTCACTCAACCTACCATATCGAAGGGCCTCCGATTCCATGACCACCCAAAGGACGACAACAACACTGCTATAGTAAGCCAAAGATACCCGCAGAGTCACCACCATCGATCATGGCGCCCTCACTCTCCAAACCCGTCCTCCCTGTGTTTCGGGACCGCACCGTCAAGGGCATCATCACCCAGCTCACGTCCATGTACCTCGACAACCGCACCCGCATCTCACGCGCCGTCTACATCACCTTGTTTGTCGCCCTCGTCAACCGCGTGCGCCACGCCATCGCCGAGCAAAAGGCCGCCTCCGTTCGCGACGCCGCCAAGCGCGCCGAGCGCCAGGGCACCACGGCCTCGACCTCGGACGATGCCTTGGGCGGCAAGAAGAAGAAAGTGGAGCTGAACCGCGACTTCTTTCGCTCGCTGTTGCGGTTGCTCAAGATCGTTGTGCCCGGCTGGCGCAGCAAGGAGACGAGGCTGTTAATCAGCCATAGTTTCTTCTTGGTGCTGAGGACGCTGATCTCGCTCAAGGTGGCGGCTATGGATGGTGCGATTGTCAAGGCGTTGGTCAAGGGCAACGGAAGGGAGTTTATCACGAGGATCGTGTATTGGATGTTGATTGCGGTGCCGGCCACATTTACAAATTCTATGGTGAGGACCCACTGTTTTTTGCAACATGAGACGATATGCTAATCCTCTAAACCCACGCCACAGCTTTCATACCACCAAGCCGAATTGTCGTTAAAGTATAGGACGAGATTGACGCAGTATATCCACGACAAGTACCTTTCGCAGCTAACCTTTTACGGTATCTCTGCGCTAGATGACAGAATCAAGAACCCCGATCAGCTCATTGCGGTGGATGTGGCCAAGTTCTCCAATAGTTTGGCAGAATTGTACAGCAATTTGGCTAAGCCGATCCTTGATATGGTACGCAACCCCCCTCCGACTGTGGCTGCTACCAATGGGTAACCCTTGGCTAACCTACAATACCTAGACAATCTACACCTTCTCGCTATCAAAGAGCGTCGGTGGAGAGGGTGTCGTATTCATGTCCCTTCTAGTCCAGCTCTCCGCAAACGTCATGCGAGCGCTAACACCGCCCTTTGGCAAATATGTTGCTGAAGAAGCGAGACTAGAGGGCGAGTTCCGCTTCCAGCACTCCAGACTGATAGACCACAGTGAAGAAGTCGCCCTATACGCCGGTCACGAAGCCGAGAAGGACACGCTAGACAAGGGCTATTTCACCTTGATCAAGCACGTCAACTACATCTTGCGCCGGCGCTTCTACCACAGTTTCATGGAAGATTTCGTTATCAAGTACTTCTGGGGCGCACTGGGCTTGATGCTCTGCAGCGTTCCCGTTTTCGTCAAGCTACCGGGCCAGCTCCAGATGAACATGGGTGATCGCACCGAGACGTTTGTGACAAACCGGAGAATGCTCCTGTCGGCTTCGGACGCCTTTGGCCGTATCATGTTCTCGTACAGGGAGATCATGGAGCTGGCGGGCTACACATCCCGCGTCTCGTCACTGCTGGAGGTCATGGACGACATTCAGAACGGACACTTTGAGAAGAAGCTGGTGTCTAGTTCGGGTACAGAGGATAACGAAGCTGTGCTCAAGGGCAGAGGTAAAGTGGTGGAGAGTAGGGATATCGAGTTTATCGATGTGTAAGTTCCAACCGGCCCCTTCCTACCAAGTCGTTTGCATGCATCGCGTTGCTAACCCTTCTACACAAAAACAGCCCTATCATTTCCCCCAACGGCGACGTCCTCGTCAAAGCCCTCTCCTTCAAGCTCAGAGCAGGTGATCACCTCCTCGTCGTCGGCCCCAACGGCTGCGGCAAGTCCTCCCTCTTCCGCATCCTCGGCGGTCTCTGGCCCGTCTACGGCGGCACCGTCCACAAGCCGCCCTTTACCGACATCTTCTACATCCCGCAGCGTCCCTACCTCTCTCGGGGATCCCTACGCCAGCAAATCATCTACCCGGACGGCCTGCGCACCATGCGCGCCAAGGGCGTCACCGATGCCGACCTGCTCGCCATCCTCAAGGTCCTCAACCTCGAGCACCTGCTCCAGCTCTACCCGGAAGGGTGGGACGCCGAGGCCGAGTGGCGCGATGTTTTGTCGGGCGGCCTCCAGCAGCGCGTCGCCATGGCCAGGCTGTTCTACCATAAGCCCCGCTATGCCATCTTGGACGAGTGCACGAGCAGCGTGACACTTGAAACGGAGAAGGTTATGTATGACAATGCCAAGGCACTGGGCATCACGCTCATGACGGTGTCGCATCGTCGTAGCTTGTGGAAGTACCATACCCACATTTTGCAGTTTGATGGACAGGGGAAGTATGTATTCACAAAGCTGGATGCGGAGAAGAGGCTGGAGCTGGAGGATGAGAAAGAGGATTTGGATGTGTTATTGAGGCAGGTGCCTGAGTTGGAGAGGAGGATTGCTGAGTTGACTGCTGAGTAACATGTGGGATGGCTTGATGATTACATGTATATGGTGAGATGAAATGAGACGAAAGTGGAATCGAAGGTTGGTGAGTAATGGTTTCATCACCGAGGGGCAGGAAGGATGGGTCTGACTGGACCCTCGGAGAATCCCGCAAAAACTGCAGTATATCCTGGATGGCTTCATTGTCCTTTTTTTTTTGCTTTTTGGATAGCAACTTGTTTGGATTCAAGAGACATGGATGCGGACATGGGATTTAACCGCATATAAGTCATCGAGTTATCCTCGAGTTATCCTGGTTGGCACTGTCCGGCTCATGCCTTCCAAAACTCGTGTGGGTCCACAAATCATTTACTCACGGTTCGTAGACGTTGTAAGTTGATGCCACAAAAGTTGTGTCTTCATTCAGAGAAAAAGAAAGTAAGTCTACGATACCCCAAACAAGCATCCTCATCCGATATCCAAAACAATGGCACAAGCTGACAATTGTCTCCCTCCAAATTCGTTTATGGTTCAAAAGTCTTTTTTTTTGTGTGATCCACATCGCAAGAAAGAAGAAGAAACGTACATGCGTACAAATAATACGAGTACAACGTGGTAACAAGAAGGAGTATATAACGATAATATCCAATCAACTCGATATCAACCCCCTAACCCCCCTTATCCTACCCCTCATCAATCCCATCATCCTATCATCAACTATCCATGCAATTCAATCTCATTGAACTCACTCAAGCTACATCTAATGTACAACTCCAACTCCTGACTTAGATCTTGTCAAGATACACCGCGGTACCAGTAGGCGCCGCGGGAAGCGTGCTGTTGCCAGCCGGGAAAGGAGCCAGCGTGGCAGAGGCAGCAGCGGAGGCGGTGGAAGTCTCGGCCTCATCGGGGCAAGAATCATCCTCACCCTCACCCTCAGCCTCGCCAGTGGTATCCTCATCGGGAGGGCAGGACTCGTCATCACCGGAGCCGTTGGAGCCAGAGAGGTCAGTGCCGTTGTTGCCAATAGCAGCAGTGGTAGTAGTAGTGGCGGCGGCGGCGGCGGCGGTGGTGGAGGTAGCGCCAGAGGCCTCGTTGTTGACAGCGGAAGGAGCGGTCATGGTCACGTAGACGGTGGAGGCGGGGAGAGTGACAGTGGAGGCGGGGACAGTGACAGTCATGGCGGCGGCGCCAGTGGGGCAGTCGCTACCGGCAGCGGCAGCGGTGACGGTGACGGCGGCGGGGCATTGGCAGGCGCCGGAGTCGAGACCGGAGCCAGAGCCAGAGCCAGAGCCAGAGCCAGAGCTGTTGCCGTTGCCGGAACCAGATCCAGTGCCAGAGCCGGAGCCAGTGTCGGGAGAAGCAGTCTGGGTGGCGACCGAGGTGACGGTGGCGCCCACGCCAACAGTAACAGTCTTGGTGCCGATGGTGGTGGTGGTCATGGTGTAAGTGGTATCAACCTCGGCACCAGCAGCAGAAGTAGCGGGGTTGCCGCCACCGACGGCATTAGCGGCGGAAGTGGATTCGACAAGGGGGTTGGCGTTGGTCATGGTGATGGTCTTGACGACGGTGTTCTCGATGGTAGACATGACAGTGGTGGTGATGACGCGAGTGTTGCCGTTACCGTTACCGTTGCCGCCGAGGGTGATGGTGACGGCCTTGGGGGTGGTGAGAGTCTCGACGGCGGTCGCGGTAACCTTGATGCCGCTGCTGGAGGCCTGGTGGAAGACGCTGGAGGAGATGGAGGAGGCCTCGGCTATAGGGCAGACGGTGGTGGTGAGATGAGCGGTGCGGGTGACGACGGTGGTGGCAAGAGCCTCGGTGGGGAGATTGGCCAAGTCCTCGGTCCTGGCGGGGCAGTTGGTAATGGAGGCAGCACACGAAGTGATGGTCTCAACCGAGGTAGCAATCACGGTAAGAGTGGTGAGACCGGATGACGCAGCAGCAGCCGGGACAGTGGTAGAGTTGCTGAAGATGGGAGCGGAAGTAACCGCGGCAGGGGCGGTTGTGGGAGCAACAGAGGACAGGAGGGAGGCATTGATACCAGTGCTCGAAGCCCCGGCAAGAACGCTGGAGGAGATGGACGAAGCATCAGCAACGGGGCAGACGGTGGTGGTGAGATGAGCGGTGCGGGTGACGACCGTAGTGGCAAGAGCCTCGGTGGGGAGATTGGCCAAGTCCTCGGTCCTGGCGGGGCAGTTGGTAATGGAGGCAGCACACGAAGTGATGGTCTCAACCGAGGTAGCAATCACGGTAAGAGTGGTGAGACCGGATGACGCAGCAGCAGCCGGGACAGTGGTAGAGTTGCTGAAGATGGGAGCGGAAGTAACCGCGGCAGGGGCGGTTGTGGGAGCAACAGAGGACAGGAGGGAGGCATTGATACCAGTGCTCGAAGCCCCGGCAAGAACGCTGGAGGAGATGGACGAAGCATCAGCAACGGGGCAGACGGTGGTGGTGAGATGAGCGGTGCGGGTGACGACCGTAGTGGCGAGAGCCTCGGTGGGAAGCGCAGCAAGTTCCTCAGTCCTGGCAGGGCAGTTGGTGATGGAGGCAGCACACGAAGTGATGGTCTCGATCGAAGTGGCGATGACGGTGAGGGTGGTGAGAGGCTGAGCTCCGGGGACGGTAGCCGTAGCATTGACGGCATCGAGGAAGCTAGGCACTCCCGTAGAAAGGGGGACCCCAGTTGAAAGAGGAACACCGGTCGAGATAGCACCAAGCCCGGTGGAAAGATCGACGGCCGAAGAAGAGGCAACGGCAGTAGCCTCGGAGGAGCTAACTACGGCTTCGACAGAGCTGACGGCGGGAAGAGTGGTGTTGAAGCGGCGGTAGTGCATATGGCGAGGATGAGAGTAGGCGGTTGTGAGGGCGGCAAAGAAGCCGAGGGTAACGGCGGAGGTCTTCATGTTGACTGATGTATGTACGTATCACGTGTGATTTTGGGTGTTGATTCTTTCCCTCTTTTTCAAGCCGTGGTCTGAAGTTGGCTGTAATGAGTGGTTATTGCGCCCAGGCAATGTAGTTGGTGTTGTTGTTTTCTTTTCAAAGAACGAAGATCGACTTCGCAAGACTGGCAGGTTAAAGACACTTTGCCCGTAACAGAGAACGTAAAGGTGGGAAGTAAGACAAGTGAAGTCTGCTAGACTGGCTAGACGAGGAGACAAGCAAAAGGAATGATGCTTGACTTGTTAAGAGACAGACCACTAAAAAGAAGGAAGCTAAGGGAAAAAAGAGAGCAAGAGGGAGGTGAGATGACAAGCACGAGACTTCTCGGGGGCTTTAAAGGATAAATCTTTGACGCCGCATCCACCCAGCCAAGAGAAAAGAACCCCTGTTGACGATGGAAGCCCTGTACGTAAACGAGGCACAGCTGGGAGACTCTTGGATGGGGGGCTCCACAGATCCTTGACGAACGGAGCGGAGCGGGCTCTTCCATACAGAGCAGTCCCCCCGCTGTTGTCAAACGAGCAGAAAACCGAAGGACTGAGGGTAGCCATTGCGGTGAAGGTGATGATGGCGAGTACCCCAATGGCACCACGAGAACGAGGGTTCATCTTGTGGAGGATAGTTTCGCGAAATCCATGAGTCCCAATTTCTGTAACACGCGCGGATAGCATCCTTGTCGTGACAGGGATAGCAGCAGGAGGCAGACGCAGGAACGGATTTCCCGAGACAAGCACCGGGCCAATGGGATCAGGATGCCCACCTCCCGAATAAGATTCCTAGGGGCCTCGAGGGGCCAAGCAACAGAGAAGCGCGTGGAAATTGCCTACACGTAAAAACAGCATCGGTTGGGAAGAAAGCCAAGGGAAACCTGGAGCTGTGCACGGCGTGGGTTGATGGTCATTGATGACAACATCCTCCACTAGATGGTGATCGTAAGATGGACGATCGATTCGGGTTCTAGATGCTGTAAGTGAAGAGCCTCTGAGACAAGTGATCGGCAGCAAAGACTGATGCCGAGTCTCAGTTCGCGAGATGTACCGTTTGGTTTCAACCGTCAGAGCAGCGAACAGAATATCTGAAAAGCGGTGGTCAGTAAGGAGGATGGAAGGCAGGTTGTGGACGCGGCTGAGATGAGCCTTTTTTAACATATCCGTATCCGTGTATTTATATAGAAACCAGGCCCATGGCATGGTGACACCGTCCTACCCATCCATCAGACGGATGGTCAGACTGATGGTCTTTGCAACAGTGTTTGCATAAACGTCCGCGACTCCCGCCCTGGTTCACACTTGTTCGAAGTTGGCTGCGCTGCGCCACCCTTTCGAGAGATGAGTCTCCGTGTTATGTGACCCCTTGTGATGAAGACTTCTTTCAAGGGGGGGGAGGGGGCAGTTGGGGTCGAGAAGAAGCCCAGGAGAGAGAGAGGCTGTTTCATCTTTTCCAGCTATCGGCATCACCCGTGATTCGTCCGGTCGACCAGGGGCCCCCATTGTACCCCACCATCCCCATCATCACGGAACAATCGAGGCACGGATTTCAATGCTCGATCGGAGGGGCCGGCCAAGTGAAGCTTCAATGAAGATTCCATTGCAGGCATCACCTTGCTTCTGTTTCCTCGGAGACCACTACCGCGTAGGGGTTTAGACTCGGCTTCTCAAGTTTGCGGACAAAAGTCCGAAGGGCATTTTTGTCTCTCTGATGAAAGCACGACGGGAATGTTGAGAGGGTTTGGCTTTTGGCTGTGGAAAAGGGCCGTTGTCAAGGCAAATTCGCAATTCATTCCCTGGTGACCGGCGGGAATAATGGCATCCTGACTCCTGACAAGGGAATCGGGTCCTTGTCCATGGCGAGCTTTGGTTGCCGAACTGCCGGGTAGATAGGTACATACGAAGCGTCGTCAGTTTTTTGGTCTTTTTTTTTATCGCTGTTTGTGGACCCAGATGCAATACATACGCGGACGGGAAAGCGGCAGGTGGGAGACGAGATAAATAACGAGCTTGAGAGGGTTAGGGTTTCAAGGTGACCTTTTGGTTTGTGGCACTTTCGCTTTTTTCCGAATCCGACCAGTTCAATAATAAATATAAGACGTGATGAATCTCAGTTTCTTATTACACTGCGTTGTTCCATCATCTGTCGGTCTACCTATGGTTTTCTGACCACGCAGCCAAACAACATGCACATATGTGAGCCGCACACGTTTGCAGCAGCTTTGCTCTGCTTCTGTCGAGCAAGTTTGGTGCATTGTGTCCGAATCAGGAATGTTCAACCACAATGTGTCTTTATTCGAGACGACATGGTTCACTTGAAGCTGGATTCAACTACACTACGGTAGACCCATCTTTTTCCAACTCTATCTCTTTCTCTCTCGGTCGCGATAGTGTCTCTTCGCCAATCTAGAGGCGGCTCGAGATAAGCTCTACCCTGGGCCGACCGACCGTAAGTCCATTTGGGTTAGATTTGTTGGTGTACATCCAATCCGGCTCACTGCAATCAGCGGGGAAGCATCAATGACGTGGTACCCGGGCCGAAAAGGTACCTTCTTCCCTGGCTTTCGGAGGGGCTTATCCGGCATTTTGATGGCCGTTCTTCACCATGGTCGGTGGAAACTCCGGACACGTGGGGGACAACAAGTCCAAGGTTCCTTAGCATTTTCATCACGCAATTTGCGGGCGTTAGGTGTGCTTAAAGACTAACATCGTCGTGACCTGAGGAAGCACCACGTCCCTTATCTCAACACCCCCCTCCAGCACAACTCAGGAGGCCCGACAACTTGGGTTCAGATCGCGTTGCTTCATCTGACATGTTGACGGCGGCCAGTCATGCGCAAGTTCACTTTCTTCAGACATCCACGTCTCGAGCTATCACTAACACTAAGCACAGTTCACCTATCACCACTGTTATGCGGCCTGGCCGTGCTGAGCCAACTCGGCTCCGTAGTCATCGCTGTTCCGCTGGAGTTCAAGTACCAGAGGGTGATCCAAAACATCTCTTCCGAAGGTCACCGGGGAGCCGTGGCCAGTGAGAGCGCGATATGTTCCCAGATTGGCACTGACGCCCTCCGCAAGGGTGGTTCCGCCGCCGACGCCATGGTAGCCACCACCCTCTGCGTCGGCACCATCGGCATGTACCACTCTGGCATCGGCGGCGGCGGCTTCATGCTGGTGCGCGACCCGGACGGCAACTACCACACGGTCGACTACCGCGAGACCGCGCCCGCCGCCGCCACCCAAGATATGTATAACGACGACCCGAACGCCAGCGTGCTCGGCGCCCGCTCCGTCGCCATTCCCAGCGAGCTGCGCGGTCTCGAGTACGTGCACAGCAAGTACGGCCGTCTGCCATGGCACGACCTTGTGATGCCCTCGGTTAAGATTGCCCACGACGGCTTCAAGGTAACGGAGGATCTGGTCCGGTACATGGCCAGCGCCTCGGCGTCGGACGACTTTTTGACCCGTGACCCCGTTTGGGCCCAAGATTTCGCTCCCAACGGCACCCTTCTCGGGCTCGGCGACACCATCACGCAGAAACGGTACGCCAAGACACTCCTAAAGATCGCCCTCCTCGGCGCCGACGCCTTCTACACCGGCCCGATTGCCGACTCCATCATCGCCCTCCTCCAGCCGCTCGGCGGCATCCTCACCCATTCCGACCTCGCCAACTACGAGGCCTCCATCAAGCCCGCGCTGAACATCACCTACCGGGACTCCTTCCGCATCTTCGCCACCGACGCACCTTCTTCGGGAGCTGTAACCCTCTCCATCCTCAAAACCATGGAACAATTTCCCTCCCTCAACCTCTCCTCCAATATCCCCCTCACCAACCACCGCTTCGTCGAAGCCATGAAGTTCGCCTACGGCGCCCGCCAATCCCTCGGCGACCCATCCTTCATCACCAACATCACCTCCTTTCAGGAAGCCATGCTCTCCCCCCAAACCGCCAAGTTCATCTCTTCCAAAATCCTCCCCAACTCCACCCTCCCCCTCTCCGAATACGACCCAGTAAAGAACTACGCCGCCGCTTCCCACGGCACTTCGCACATTGTCACGGCCGACCGGTCCGGGCTAACCCTCTCGTCCACCACGACGATCAACCTCCTCTTCGGCAGTCGCCTAATGACGCCTGACACGGGCATCATCCTCAACGACGAGATGGATGATTTCAGCCAGCCCAACAAGAACAACTCCTTTGGCTTTGTCCCTTCCCCCTCCAACTTTATCCGCGCCGGCAAACGTCCGCTGTCGAGTATCTGTCCCTTGATGGTTGAGCACATTAGCAACGGCAGCTTGTGGTTCGCTACGGGAGCTGCCGGAGGAAGCAGGATCATTTCCAGTACCACGCAGGTGGCGTTTAATGTGCTCGAGGGCCTTGCTGTCCATCCGAATACGACCGACTTGAAGGTCAAGGGGGTGGGTGGTGAGGGAAGCGTGATGCGGGCGGCGGTGGCGGCGCCGCGGTTGCACGATCAGTTGATGCCCGAGGTGTTGCTGGTTGAGAAAGGGTACGGACAAGATGTATACGATGATTTGAAGAGGAGGGGACACAATGTGACTTGGCAGGCGCCGGGGCTGAGTGCGGTGCAGGCGGTGATGAGGTTTGGGAATGGAACGTTTGTGGCGGCGAGTGAGACTAGGCAGGTCAATAGTGGTGGGTTTGCTGTTTAGATGGGATGCGCAAAGGTTAGGGATGACAGAACCTACCTCGCCGATGACAAAAAGAATTGTCAGGGACGAGCCTACTTACCCTTGGATACTCATAACGAATTAGCGGATCCTATAGACATTTGGAACAGCGATGATGATAATGATTCAATGAGATAATCAATGAGAGAGGAAGTTTGTTCAAAAAGTTTCAACATTATGGAATAGGATATCTCGTACTAGCTCGCTCAACCGTTCAACACCAAAACCACCTGCCACCAAACCGACCCTCTCTTTTTTGAGTCCGTTCATGCTCATCTCAACAAGCGCCTGCCGAATATACATCCTCATGACAAATTCGTCATCTCATCAGAAAAAATAACAACAACGCCACCTAACATATAATCTGTCTCTTCCTCTATTTGCTGGTATCAACGACATATCTGCCGACAATCTTGCCCTCCTCCATCAAGTCGTAGACTTCCTGCAATTTGCTGAGGCCGACCGTCTTGATGGGAACCTTGATCAAGCCGCGGGCAAAGAAGTCAAGCGCCTCCTGGGTATCCTGCCTGTTACCGACATACGAGCCCTTGATGGTGATCATGCGGATGACGGTGTCGAAAACGGGGGCCTGGAACTTGGCGCCAGCGGGGAGACCGATGCAGATGATGGTTCCGCGGGAACGGACGTAATCGACGGCCTGGTGGAACGGCTTTTCGGACACGGCGAGAAGGATGACGGCGTGGGGACCGAGGCCGTCGGGGGTGGCAGCCTTGACGTCCCCGACAAGGTCTTTGGTAGTAGTGAAGTCGACGTAGGCCTGGGCGCCCAGCTCGCGGCAGTTCTTGCCCTTCTCCTCGCCACCGTCAATAGCGATAGCGTGCAAGCCCATGGCGTTGGCGTACTGAATAGCCATACTGCCGAGACCACCGCCGGCGCCGACGATGGCGACGCACTGGCCGGGACGAACACCGGACTCCTTGAGGCCCTTGTAGACGGTGATACCGGCGCAGAGGACGGGCGCGGTAGTCTCGAGGTCGCACCCCTTGGGGATCTTGGCGACGTGGGCAGCCTTGGCGATGGCGTATTGCTGGAAGGAACCGTCGACGGTGTAGCCAGACAGGAGGGCGTGAGGGCACAGGGGCTCGTCAGCCTGCATACAGAAGGAGCAGGCCAGGCAGGAGCCGTTGAGCCACTTGATACCGGCGTGGTCGCCAACCTCAACCTCGGTAACGAGCTCACCCTTGGCTACGACGACACCGGCGCCTTCGTGGCCGCCGACAAGAGGCATCTTGGTAGCGAGGGGCCAGTCACCCTTCATGGCATGGAGATCGGTATGGCAGACGCCAGAGTACTTGACGTTGATAAGGACCTCATCGGGGCCGGGCTTCTGGACGGGGATCTGCTTGAAGACGACGGCTGAAAAGGAAAGTCAGAATATAGGTCACAGGTGCCACTAGTAAGTAAGGACAAAGGGGTGTTGGACTTACGACCGCCCTTCTTCTCGACCACCTGGGCCCATTGCTGTTCTGGAATCTCGAACTGGGTCATTGTGATGGTGTGTTGGTGTAGTGAAGTTGATGGAAGTAAAGTGAAGACAATAGTCTCTTTCTATAAGAGACTGAGGAAGCTCTGTGTATATGATGGAAGTCTATGAGGTACAACAAGTGATGTAAGCCCGAGAAGAGCTGCGGCAGCCATGACCTCTTATACTCTTTCCGTCCCCCATCGCCCTTCCCCGGTCAGGGGATAGCAACAGGTCCGACCGATCGGCAACCGTTGGCAAAGAGGGGGAGGTAATGGATGACCCAAGCAAGGCAGGCAGGCGTCATGGTGGGCAGCGAACCAAAGAAAACACGAGACTGCAAAGGCATGATGACCACAGGAGGAAGGGAGGCCGAGATCTGCACGTCTCTACAGACCCGGCGAGGCTAGTGGTGGCTCGGTGGGAAGACTTGTCGGACGTCTGGCGAGGCAGGGGCCGAGACCCTCGACTGGAGGGTTCTTGGGGGTTTGTACACTAGAGTCTTAGTGTGTGTAGATGGACGAGGGAAAACGTATGATGTTAATGGGCGAGGCGGGACGTAGAGGATGTGACGGTACGGGGAGCTCCCACTGGCCAATCGCCCATTGTCTGCACTTTTCCATCAGCCCGGTGGATACCCCTCTCAAGCCCCCCCATCCAGTCGTCAGCAGCTTGATTGATCCAAGGGAAGCTTCAATGGAGTTGCTGCATCGGCTGGTTCAAGGTTTCCGAAGGTTTAGAGAGAGAAATTGAGAAGCCAAGAGGGGAGATCTCCGCTTCTGTCAACTGTACAGGTCCGATCTTAGTAGTGTAAATGCGGGGGAGCTGGCACTCGGACGCCAACAGTTGGAAACAAACAAGGTCACGAGCTCTTGTTAGATGAAGCTGATCATGCACTAAGCGATTAGCATAGTGAAGGTCCCCGGTGTTGATGTGCAAAAGAGGAGAAAGTTAAAAAGAGGACTGGGGGAAATCGTGGGCTCTTGGCGCATGTCAAGCGCGATCGTCCCAACTTGGGCACGAGTGATGTAAGAGATGGAGGCTGGGATGAGATGTTAGCTTCAGTGAGTGTGGAACTGGCGGGAGCGCTGAGTCGAGTGATGACAGCGGGGGTGCCCGTTGGGGGACAGCCCGCCCTATCCAGCCTCAGCGGAGCCCGGCTAGTGTCACCCGGACCATCAAAACGGCCCTTTTCCCGCTCATCATGTCAACAATGCCGTGAAGCACCTGAGGTTCTGATCCCATCTCGTGGTTTATGAGACGCTTTTTCTAGTCATTATGGAGCGGCCGAAATCTCTCCGTCTCTCCTTATTTTTGTGGGAACTTTCTTATCAACTTCACTTTTGTCGTAGAACCAAACGCCCGGTGGTCGGCACCTTGAATCCGAGTACAGTCTTGGATACGGTGTTTGCCCAAAGTAACTAAAGTCGTTGACAGCGCGCGGGTCGGGTCCGATCCGAGACCCCGCCGTAGGTCATGTTCCACCCCCCACACTTTCTAGTGTGGTGTAGTGTATACATAAACGACTTTCCGCTCCACCGAAGCCACTGTCTCGAACCCACCACTACATACGCTACACATTGAAACTTGTGCCAACCACTCCTCCTCCTCCTTCTCCTCCTCCACCTCCTCGTCGAAGATCTCGTGGACGTCGTGGCTCTCCTCTTCCCCGCGCCTTTGTCAACGCTGGTTGGGTTGGTGGTAAAGCTGAAACGGAGGCTGATGGGATTAGTATGGATCAATTATCGTTTCCAGGGCAAACATGAAGGAAAACAAAAGAAAGAAAAAAGTCAACTTCCGCTCGAGCGAAGAAGCCTCAAAACGGCAAACTTAGCCGGTGCAAGTGACGAGGAGGCTTGGCTTGTAAGCCACCAAAGGACGGTCTGGAACCCCTGGTTTCAGCGACGAAGCTTCTTCCCCGCATTCTTGTCCTACTACCTACCCATACCTATGGTACCGACCTCTATGAAGGCATGCAGAAAGTTGCATAACCTTTTGCTCCTTGTCCGGCGCAAAGTAAGCAATCCGACTACTGAACCCTCCGAACTGTGAATGCTCTCTGGGAACATGGTCGGTTTATTGTGAGGTGACGTCCGAGCATGGTCAGGCAACATCTTTCAACATGACAATCGAGCCCAGTCCTGATTGAAATCTAATCAATGGGCTGCGAATAGGAACAACAGGAAAAAATAAAAGGAAAAATCAGCAAGTTGTGAAACTGATGCGAAGCTATCGGTTAGCTTGCCCGATGGGAGTTCGGCCAGTTCCAGAACTGTCGGGCCATATCAGGCCACCCGGCGCGAACCGGTGGTCGTGGTGCTGACACATCCTTGCTTACCGAGAGTTACAGTGAATGCCGTCAATGGCTTGGCACGCCGCCTCCGGAACCAGCCGATCGGTACCATTAAGCCCCCCTTTTAAGGGGACCGTTGCTCTGCGCAACGGATTTCTAAACATCAACACAACAACAAACACATTGGCCGTCTACGCTGATGCAACTTTACTAGCATTAGTTCCTCTTTTCGATTCATCGCCATTATATAAACATCGGCGCCCGCTGCCTGCCAAATAAGATGCGGACTCGCTCCTGTACACAAATAACTACGCTTAAGATCCACCAGGTCCTCCGAGCAGAGCGAACCTGCGCACGATGCTGGGTCCATATTCTTGGTACTGTAAAGATCCGTCAGCAACCAGACTGCCAATGGTACAAGGGTAAACAAACATACCTCTGCCTTGGTGTGGCAGTACGACCGAAACTCGGGCGTCTGACCGAGCAAGCTACCACCGAACCACGGGCCGTGCCGTTGCCTCTTGTGGGTGATAACCTGGACATCAAGACCACCGCTCTTTGCTCCACCACTGCGCACCTCGCTGGCCTTGATTCTCGTATCGACAAGCTGCTTGATATCGCGCTGTAGCCTGCGACCAAAGTCCTTGTAGAGCGTGCTGCCACCCGAAAGAACAATGTTCTTGTAGAGACCACGACGGACATCGATGGGCGAAGACTGAATGACACCATCGACAACCACGGGCAGGGGCGTCAGGAAATCGGACGAGTAAATCTCGGGGTTAAAGAAGATTTCGGGCGCCATGAAACGCTCGTAGCCAACATCAACCGTAACTTGGCGGCCACCGGGCTGGGTAATGGTGTGCTTCAGGAATCGGCTGCGATCGCGGTCGTACTTGGCAAACTCCTTGACGATATCCGGACAGACGTAGCAGTACTCCTCCTTGATCTCCTGGGCCGTCTTGAGGGACGAATCGGGCTCGCCGCGGTCACGGAGAAGCGACTGGACAAAGTAGGTGATATCGCGACCGGCAATAGGGATCGACTTGATGGACGAGCCGATAACGTAACCTTCGGCGACCGGGATAACGTGTGTCACACCATCACCCGAATCAATGACAGTACCGGTCAAGGATCTGTCCTGGACCTTGGATGATGTCCAGGAAGCCGCAAGGGCCAGAACGGCCTGGACGGCAATGTAGAGACCGGCGCAGTTGAAGGATTCGAAGAAGATCTCGGCGGTGTTTTCGCGGTTCTCGGGAGGGTTGAGAGGCTGAATCGACATGTCAGTGCTGCAGAGGTACTGATGTGGCTTGGAAATTGTAGTCTTACGGGCTCAGTGAGGAGGAAGTGGTGGTCCTCAGGCTCTACTCTCAGATACTTGAAGATGGAGTTGGACCAGAACCTTTCCATGTGATCCTAAGCTCCAGTTAGCTCTAGGTATTTGTGACATGCCATCTAGCAGCCTGAACGCACCCAGTTCTCGATCTGTCCGTGTCTGATGGGATAGTGCAACCCGTAGCCTAACACCGTCAGCACCCATTTCCATTGAGGCGGTGTAGACCAACGTACCAGGTCCATTGGCGGCCGCTACGGCCTCGTCGCCGATAAAGTAGTCGAGGTCTTCGGTTCCGCGCTTTGCTGAGAGATGGCCACCTGGACCAGCGCCGCCGGTGAGGAAGGATGGTTTGTTGGCTACGGCGGGGCGGCCAGAGCCCGAGCCGCCGGTGCCTGCCGAGGGGCTTTTGGTCGCGATGGCCGTCGGGAATACGAACGAGGGGGAATCATTGCCGGCGAAACCTGCAGACGACGAAGAGCTTGGTCAATCGGTGGCCATGTCATGGATATCTTGGGGTGTCGGAGTCGCGAACCTAGCTTGGAGAACCCCGTGCCGCTGGTTAGGGGATGTTAGCGATGACGGCCCCGGAGCTGTTAAGGAGCGGGCGGGGTGGAGACGGGACACTTGGATGCACGTACTTGTCCATGACAACGGCGGGGGTTGTGTTGGCCATTGTTGCGGTGGTTTGCTGCTAGGCGCAGCTCGTGATGATTGCGGTTTGGTAAAGCAACGGCTGTTGTTACCTACCTAGTTGGTGATGGATGAAGTGACGGGGCGGGAGCGTGGATGGGTAGTGGATAGGCCAGGCGGGCGGGAAATGGAGGTTGATGTCCAAGATTGTACGTGCCTGGCCGAGCTAGCTCTCCTTACTCGTCTGGCTGACAGCGCTGCGTGGTACTGTGGAGGTACCTGTGCGGCTGTGCGCCAAGACCGCGAGGTCCCCGTCAAGTACGGCGGTCCATTTTGTCAGTCGGGCATTTCCAACGACCTACATACGCCATAACTGGGGATGACGGAACCAAACACCGCTGCCACCTGCGCGCCATCCGAGCCCCCCGAAAACCGATGCCCCGGTCCCAAGCACCGGAGTTCGAAGCACACGGCCCGGGCCCGGACGATGATGGCTAGGAAAAAGTGGGGCCGATCGGGATCAAACTGTAGCGACAAGGCCAGCCGGACAGACAGGATGTGTCCTTTCGAGAAGGAAGGAGATACTGAGTGCAAAATCACCTCCAGCCAGATTCACTCACACCTGCCATTTCTGTCGAATTCATTTCAGCTCCATCTCGAAGCAAGTCCACTTTGCGGAGAAGCTGCACACACTCACAGCTTCTCACTTAAGTTATCACAACGAATCATCAACCTGTCCAGTGTCCACATTCCGTTTCGTCTCTCTCCGTCTCTCTCTCTGTCGTATTCTGCATTTTGCCACCTTTGCCTTCACACATCTTCATCCCGCCCACCTACTGTATCCAAAGGGACTCTTCATCCCTCGGGCCAACCTGAGTGCATCATCCAGCTCATTGGGGATCGCTCCAATTTCAAATACCACTCAAGACATTATCACTACCGAGCATTATTCGCAATCATTGTTTTAGCAGGTTGCTTCTACGAGGGACACCAAGTCCGACCACCCTTTTCATCCCATCCACCCGTTGCTGTCTTCTTCAACTCTTCGTCCTTGCCTCGATAAGTCTTTTCGCCCATCCTTGTCCCAAAGCACAAAAGTCACCCATGACACACCAAAACTGAGGACTCTTCTATATGCCCTCAGAATACAGACTCGCTTGAAAGACACATGCTCGATTGCCAGACAACTCCACCTCGCCAGATCACACGCTACTTCGACTATATCCTCGAGTCGTTCTATCACAGCTGCGCCCACGATGAGCTGCAGAAATGCCGAGCCCGGCCATGGTTCACCTGAATCAGATATTGACATGTCGGACAGCTCCTCAGAGTTAAACTGGCCTGGTGATCATGAATACGGATTGGATGGTGGTGTCGAAAGGATATGGAAGCGTACGACGAAGCCAGTTGCGGCAATCTTTGTCCACGCAGGTGCAGGGTACCATAGCATTACGAATGAAAAGGTTCACTTGGAAGCATGCAGCGAGTAAGTTGAGTCAAGAGTCATCAGGTGATCCCTTGCTGATGCGGTTGCAACTAGAGCCTCCCGTGTCGCCATGAGGTTTCTGAAAGCCGGTGCTTCTGCCCCCGAGGCTGTCGAAGCTGCTATCAGGTGTTTGGAGGACAAAGAGATTACGAATGCCGGCTTCGGAAGTAATCTCAACATGGATGGAGTTGTCGAATGTGACGCAACTGTAGTCGACCATCTGGGGAGGAGTGGTGCTTGTGGCGCTGTTCCGGGTACGCCCTAACCGACGGTGCCACATATGAGCGGCCAGAAACGAAATGCTGACACTCGTTGACATATGTAGGCATCAAAAACCCCATCTCGCTTGCCAAGTTGATTCTGGACAAAAGTAGTCAGCCTCTTTCCCTCCGAAGAGTACCGCCGAATATTCTCGTGGGCCTCGGAGCTAGGGACTTTGCCGAAGAACACGGGATGGCTACCGTACCAAACGAATACCTCATTTCCAAGAATGCAAAGGATCGTTTTCTCCGCTGGAAAGAAGACTTGAAAAAGGCGGAAGCAAGACAGATTACTCAAAGTAGTAACTCCTCTCACATCGCGCAAGTGTCTCTGAGAAACCTAGAGACACATCGCCCGTCGCCGACACCGAGTGACTACGAAAAAGCGGCGGAAACGCTAAACGCGTCGACTTTACGACGGGACCACTCGAGTGCGATTCTGACTGGGATATGGAACGAGGGCCAACCCGACTCACCATATGGTAGAGGGTCCCCTTTACTGGGTGAAAATGGATCACTTGGAAGTGTCCCTTCAGCAATACCTCGCCCACCTCAGAGAAGTCTCACCAACGGAAGCAAGCCAGTCGATCGAGCTGCCATGAATTACGTGTCAGGTGCTTTTCAGTCACGCGCCACTACTGGCAGCCCAGCCGCCACGAAGAGGGCAGTGGTACGTCACAGTCACAGTGAAGATATTGGCTATTTCCCGGCTACTGGGGAAACCCCGAGACGATCTCCGTCATTGTCAACTCATGATGGGTTTGTGAGCGTAAAGGAAGACCACAACCAGAGTCTGAACACCATGGAGAACCAATCGGAGGAACAGTCACTTTCGCCCGTCCAGATCAGTGACCCGATGTTTTCGAATGCACCGAAGCAAAAGGAGGACGAAGATCTAATAACCGACACCGTTGGTGCAATTGCCATAGACCTAAAAGGGCGCATCGCCGCAGGTTCCTCTTCCGGCGGCATCGGCATAAAACACCGCGGTCGCATCGGTCCTGCTGCTCTCGTCGGAATCGGAACGGCCGTGATTCCTGAGGATTCTGACGACCACACAGGCACATCGGTAGCCGCCGTCACCAGCGGTACAGGCGAGCACATGGCTACCTCGATCGCCTCGGCAAAATGTGCAGAGCGTCTGTTTGAAAGCAGCCGCCGCGGCTTTGGAGGACACAGCATATCGGAGCTAGATGAGCATGCGCTGCTAGAGGCCTTCATTCTGGACGATTTCATGGGCCATCCGGGCGTCAAGAACCAACCGTCGGCGGGTGCAATCGGAGTCATGACTGTCAAGAAAGATCGGACGGGGTACTACTTTTATTTTGCACACAACACCGATTCTTTTGCACTAGCTAGCATGGCATCAACGGAACGAGAGCCGAGTGTTGTGATGTCGAGGCTTGGAGAGATTGGGCCGGTGGCTCAGGGTGGACGCAGGATTCGGATTGATTGATCCAAGTTATTTGCTGGCGATTGTGACTCTTGGAATTACTCGCTTAGTGGCTTTTCGTTTGGCTAAGGCTTCCACATTCCAGCTTGAAATTGTCTTCAACGAATTCGGAGCTCGGCATAGAAGGCGTGGATTCAACGGCATTCATAGGCAGGCTTAGATGGAACGGCGTTCACGAGCTGATGATACCCTACGTAGTAGTACCCTTTGGAACCGCGAGACTAAGTGGAAGAACCTCAAAAGAATGTTGCGGAACCTGACTTACCCTAATCGATTTCCTTAAGCTTCTCTATAATAATATTATCTATCATACCCAATTTTTTCATGACTCATGGCGTGGCAGAATTTAGTGATTCATTAGTGCTCCTCCATCCCTCGTTTTCGCAGTCCACGGAATTGAATTGTTTACACGCCCAGCACACATATCACTGCATGTACCACACGGCCCGTAAGGCGGCGCAAGTTGGACTTCTCATCAATAAAAGGCTTCGCTAATGATACTGCAATAACGGTTGCAGAAAGGATATCTTTCACCAACAAGGTGACTTCGTCACTTACGAGCTACAACTGCACTGCATAGCCTTCTTCTGCTGCGGCACATCCCCCGTCCACCTCTCCTCCTCCGCTTTATCACCCTGATAAACGCCCTTCCCGGTCGGTCCATCCTCAAATTCCTTCCCCGTCCACGCATCCTCAAACGGATGCGTAGCCATATGCAACACCCTCTTGAGCACCTCCCGCTCGCCCTGCTTCTCCACGCGGCGAATCACCTCGTCCAGAATCCATCCTCTTGGGATAAAGCTAGGGTTAACCTTTTTCATCGCAGCAACACGCTCCTCCGAGTCAGCTGCGGAGGTCGACCAATCCTCCTCGATCCGCACCCGCCACTTATCCAACCACTCGCCCACGCGCTTGCGAGCCTTTTCTTTGTCGGTTTCCGGTCCAGGCACGTCTTCGACTTGGGAGAAAAAGACTTCAGCTGCCTTTTGGCGGGCTTCTTCGGTTTGCAGGTCGGCGGTCTTGAGCGTGCTGAGACGCCGGAAGAAGAGGTTGTAATCGAGCTCGAGGGCTTCCATAGTGTTGAGGAGGGAGTCGAAGAGTGAGTTAAAATCGGATTCTTTGTACGTCTTGAGCCCGAGGCGCGCCGTGAATAGGCGCTTGAACTCGCCCATGAAGACGGCTTTGAACTCCTCGCCGGCCTGGGTGATGAGTTTGTGAGCGCGTTCCTCAATGGGTTTCGAGGCGGCTTCATCGTCGAAGTTGAGCCCATTGGTCACAAAAGATTCGGAGTCGACTTCAGGTCCGGCCCCGATCAGCTCGCCTAGGGCTTCGCCCAGTCGGACTAGGTTCCACCAGATGATGGTCGCTTGGTTGCGGTAGCTGTAGCGCAGCGCGAAGTCGTCGTGGTTGGGCGTGTAGTTGGGGTCGAAGTTGTCCATAAAGGCGAAGGGGCCGAAGTCGATGGACAGACCCAAGATGGAGGTATTGTCCGTGTTGAGCACACCGTTCATGAAGCCGTAGATCTGCCACTTGGCAACCGTCAGAGCGTTGCGCCGGATAATTTCGCGGTAGAGACGGTGGAAGCGGTTTTCTTCGGCTCCAGGGGGGCCTTCGATGGTTTCTTTGGGAATTTCCCGGGGAGGTTCGTCGCCGGGCGCACCCTCGGGATCGGCTAAGCGCCCAGGAAGCTTGTCCCACCCGCCGAAGACTTCCTCGCCGATGTAGGTGGCTAGTTGCCGGACGAGCTTGCGGTCGCCGCGCGCCCGGAGGATGTCGAAGTTGCCGAAGCGCAGCCAGCTCTGGGCCATACGGACCACGATGGCGCCGGGCTCCATGGTCTCACGCCGAACGCGCGAGTGAGGGAGCAGGCTGATGGCTAGCGCGCGCGTGCTGGGGATACCGAGGGCGTGGAGGTTCTCGCTGACGATAAACTCGCGGATGCTGGAGCGTAGAACGGCCTTGCCGTCCGCAAAGCGGCTGTAAGGCGTCATGCCGGCCCCTTTGAGCTGAACCTCATACCGGACACCTATTGCCGGGTTGGTTCCCTCAAACAGAGAGATGGCGCGCCCGTCACCGAGTTGTCCTGCCCATTGACCGAACTGAAAGCCTCCGTAACATTGAGCCCATGGGTAGCCAGGGCCAGAAAGCGTCTCTTCGTCCCATCCGATGATCTTGTTGCCTACTGCTACTTGGCGAAATTCTTCCGTGTCTGCTTCCGACAGTGCGAGACCTAGGTCGCGCATGGCAGCTGGAGAGACGGCAAGGAGCTCGGAATCTTGTTGCTTTTCGGGACGAACCCATGTGAAAATGGCATTCTTCACCTGGCGAGGACCAAGGTCATCGCGATCGGCCTTGTGGCTGTCAGCTGGCGTGGGGAAGGCGGCATCTGGTGGGAGAGAGGCAGTGAAGTGCCATGATTTGGGGAGGGCGGATAGTGTTGTGCCGTCGGATGAGAGGGGATGTGTCCCGTTCTCGATGGTGGTGCCGTTTGAGGCCATGATATGTTTGGTGGTACTGAAGAAGGCCGAGAAGGGCTGGTTGGCATATGGAATGCTTTTCAGATGCTGAGCGAGAGCAAGACAGCGGGCTGCGGGTTTCAATGAGCGCATCGAAGACAAGACAGTCCAGTCGTCTGGTGGGGGTTTTCACGAAGATAATTGGAGTAAGGAGTAATTCTTCTCGGCACTTCACTATGTTATATACGATATTAACCTGGAGGTGGTTGCAGTGGCAATACGCTTTGTGTATATTCTTAGTTACCAGAAGTTTGGGGTAGTTCAACCTAGGGCAATTAGTCAGACGAGGTCTACCTAGGCTCCTATGTTATACACTAGTATGGATTAGAAACTCAGGCAAAAGTTTCCAAATACTTTTCAACTGCCAATTGTATGTTCCGTAGACGTGCTGCAAAAGCTCCGGGTGGCGGAAAATCGATCGATTTAACTCAACATCCGGCAAGAAAAGAACTCCAGCTTCAGTACACGCTGTTTTAAGGTACGTACCTGAATGCTTATTGTACGAATGACACCTGCCAAGGCTCCACCTGGATAGATAAGATAAGGATAGGTACCTGACTACTGAGAACGTTCTCTTACCTTTGCCTCTTGCCAATCCTGCCAATAACTATTGCTTTGCCTCTTCATCAGCCTTTCAGATGATGATTGATCCCTTGTATGGCTGCTCCCTTCCCATTTGGCCTATTATTCGGCTCGCTCCCTACGAAAACATCCTCCCGGCGCTCTCGGTATGGCGTCATAGTCGCGGCCAATCGTGCCCCGCACCCGTGGCTGTTACATAGTAGTGCGGGGTGGAGCTTTGTACCGGTACTTCGTCAGCTTATGTTTACTTTCTGCCCCTGAATCTCGGACTTGCAAACAACTCCTCGGGCAATACGAGCAACCACAACTAGGAAAATGAAGCTATTCCCAAGTGTAGTAAATTTCCTCGAAATCCAGCAGATCAACACTTTCCGTACACATCTGAGTTCATTACAAGATAAAGGACACTGGTGGTTCGAGACCCAGTGGATCTAACTATCCCGCATTGCTGCGTACACTAGAACTAGAACAGGTACCTTGCTGAATAATTGATGTTGTCGTTGCGCCAGCGGGAATAGCAACGGAGTTGTATAAATAGAACGACAACAACGTCGCACTTGGCGCCATTGCTCTTCACTTTTATCCACACGGCAATCCAATCCTTGTTGTTCTATATATATTCCCACTCTTGACCACACTTGAGCAGCTTCACTGTTCTCCCAACACCAACAGCTTCATTCAAAATGAACTCTGCCACCTCCAACTTCGAGGTCGATGCCACCGGCGTCTCACCCAAGCAAATCCACAACCTCATCCCATCTCTCAAGCTCGCCGATGGCAATGAGATCCCCATGGTTCGTCCCTCTTATCCCTTCTTCCCTTCTTCCTTCCCTCTCCTGCAAACCCACATTCTAACACAATCACTTACACTAAAAAAACAGCTCGGCTACGGCCTCGGCACAGCCAACTACAAATCCGGCGACTCCGCCGACACCATCTCCGAGCCTATTGTCAACGCCACCCTGACCGCTCTCAACGCCGGCTACACGCACCTGGACGGCGCCGAAGTCTACGGCAACGAAGTCGAGCTCGGCAGAGCCATTGCGCAATCCAAGCTGCCTCGCTCGTCCCTATACATCACCACTAAGACTATTGTCCGTGCCGGTGACACAGTCACCCAGTCTTTCAACCGCTCGCTCGAGAAGCTCGGGCTCGATTACGTCGACCTGTACCTCTTGCACTCTCCTTTCTTCGCCAAGAACCCCGAGGAGCTCCAGGCGGCGTGGCGGGAAATGGAAAAGATCAAGGATAGCGGGATGGCCAAGTCCATTGGTGTTTCCAATTTCTTGATCTCGCATCTGCAGACCCTGTTTGACATTCCTGGAGGGTTGCAGTACCCGCCCGTCGTTAACCAGATTGAATACCATCCTTACCTTCAGCATGTGGTTGAGGGCGAGGATTTGGTCGCGTTTTGTCGGGAGAAGCACATTGCTCTTGAAGCCTATTCGCCGCTGACGGCCATTACCAAGGCTCGCCCGGGCCCTGTCGACCCCATTTACACGCAGCTGGCCAAGAAGTACGGTGTCAGTGAGGCGGAGATTGCCTTCAGATGGTGTCTGGATCAGGGTATTGTGACGCTCACAACGAGTAGCAATGAGGAGAGGCTAAAGGGCTACCTGAAGAAGCTGCCCAGCTTCAAGTTGACACCCAAGGAGGTCGAGGATATCGCGTCAGCGGGAAAGGAGAAGCATTATAGGGTGTGGTGGACTGAGGAATTCGCTGCAGACGACAGGCATTAACCCATGGAATCTGGCCATGAATTATTGTTTTGGTCGGTAGACATGTTAGTCATGCGCTATTATAGTTAATCTCAAGTTGTTGAATGATCCCTAACTCTTGTGAATGTAGGAGTTGTTCGGTGGGGGGGGGGGGGGGGGGGGGGGGGGGGGGGGG